AATTCTTTTCCACAGAGATTGCACTAATTTGCAGTCCCACCAGCAGTGTAAGAGTGTTCCTGTCTAGACACCAAGAAGCTTTTTATAAATGACTTGATAATTTGAAAATTCATTGTTAAAACTCCCCGATGTGGCTGCAAGGCAACTCAGCATTGCTAGTTTGTTGTTACTGTTGTTTTTCTCTCTCCTAACACTCTAGGGTAAAACCTGTGTGAAGAAACAAATAGCTAACAGATTGTAGTCAGGTAACCAAGCTAACCTCAGTCACGAAGGTTCATCTTACACATGACCTGCAGCATCGGGTTTTACTAATGAGGAGAGAATGTAATTTCAGGAGGTCATAGGCAGCTTGTGCTTGTCTGGTAATCCTGGAAAGAGAATTTTTCTCCAGATGATTTATTTAAATATTGGTTTACATACTCTGGAAAAACTATACTGCTTATTATTTCTGAAGATATGTGATGGAAAACTAGAAAAAAAATCACTAAACCTGAATTCGGTCTGAGGAATAAACAGTCAACAGAGTAGTAAAATCATGTAGTCAGCTCTGTCCCTTTCTGCCTTGGCCACCAACTCCTCAGGCTGTCTTTGGGTAATTACTTTACGTGGGTCTCACATACTCTGTGCTGAAACCCGAGTGCTGGTGTAGAGGAATGAATGCTTGACTGTTTTTTTGGACAAAGACTAGTATGTAATTCTGTAAAAGTGATTTTGAAATGCCTGACATAGGATGCTATAAAACACAGAATTCCATTATGTTATTTTATTTTTATCTTCAATAATAATTTTCAAGCTGAGAGCTGATTATATTTTTTAGTGTAAATAACTGCATTTAATAATATTAAGTGGTCTCTTAAATGTTTCTAGAGTTATCAATAAATAAGACGAAATTACATTATATGAGTTTGCTTTCTTTAGACTTCTCTTTTAAAATTTTTTCTTTTTTTTTCTTTTCAAAGATATGTACCTACTCCTTTTTTTACTGACACCTAATGTTAGACTAAATCATCCCACATGGGTTGGTATTTTCTTCAGCCATTATGCCTAGCAAAGTATATTTGCCCAGAAGAATTTTTTTTAATGCATCTATAATCTTTCTCATTTTAAAAGCATTTTAATCATCACTACTCTTGCAAATACTGTCACTAGGATTGTAAGAACACAATGAATATAGAATCATTTTTTAAAAATCCCTGTGAGTTGCCTGTACCTGACGCCTCTGAATGTGTTGTTATTTTCTCAGGTTTCCGGTTATATTGTCTATTGAGAATCACTGCAGTATCCAGCAGCAAAGGAAGATTGCTCAGTACCTGAAAGGAATATTCCGAGACAAACTGGACCTGTCATCTATAGACACAGGGGAGTGTAAGCAGCTTCCAAGCCCTCAAAGTTTGAAAGGCAAAATCCTGGTGAAGGTAATTACTTCAAGTAATGCAATAGGAGGCAGTAATTACCAAGTAAGCCTGCCCTCCCTTTTAAAAACTGGCTTAAAAGGAGGAATGATAATAATAAGAATCAATAAATGAAGGATTGTCTAGATCTATGTATGCTTCTTAATCCAATTTATTTATAGTCATATCTTCAGAACAAGCTTATTGTTGACTAAGCACAAATTCTGGGATTTGATTTTATGAAGTGGGAACACCAATACTGTAAGCCAAATGTTTAACATTTTACTCTGTAATAGTTCACACTGGAGAGAAATGTATGTATAGGAGTGTGAGATTCAGGAAAGGAGAAGGCTCCTTGTATCCATTTCTGAAAGCATTTCTTTCAGATGTTTTTCTATTTCAAGCTCCAATAACTGTCAAAAAAAAAAAAAAAAAGTCTTCATGGTTGATCAGTCTTGGTTATGCAAGTGAGAAGAGCTCACTTCAAAGAGGAACATAGGCACAGACGTTACGCCCCACAGGACTCGTGTATATATGAAGGAGCAGTAGGTGAATAGAATGACATTTCATAAACTGATTTTCTGAGGGAGGAAACTTACTACCATAAATATTATTAATGCAAAGAATAGCCAGAAAGGCAATTCCTTGAGTTTTCAGACCACTGACTTTGTGGTTTTACTTATTTTCAGTAAATTTTGTGTGTTTGGATTAAAACCACCTCAGACAGTTACACTGTTTTGAGATTAAAAACCTAAAGAAAAGCAGTAGAGTAATAATATTCAAACTATGTTACATTTTACTTAAAAGGAATGTGTACAAAAAAGCAAATATCATATAGGAAGAGTAGGAAAATCAAGGAAACAATGTAATTTCATGGCAAGACTTTAATTGAGGCTTTAAGGGAGGGCCACACATAGGAAAGGTGTAAAGTATTTATCTTTAGAATTGGTCAAAACCTGTTATTCTGTCAATTAAGTAAAAATTATAGATTCTGAATCTATCAAGGAGGTGTTGCCAGGCATTTGTATGCATAAAAGCATTTTGAATAAAAGCTCCAAATAATGCAACAGGTAACATTAAGGCCAATTTGCCTAAGTCTTGCTAAAGCAAACTCCTGTGATGAAAACTGATTTCTGGGTTCGAAAGTGAAATGTCATATATATAGCCTTATAAATGTTTCCGTGTTTCCTAAATATTCCTTAATAAGCAGTCAGAAGGTAAATGCAGATTAAGTCCATTTGATGGAAATCTTTCCCTTTGGACAGTGGAACTTAAGGTGGATGTTTGATGTGAAGTAATTGAGTCCTTTCTGCATATCTACACTTGGGTCCTTTGGCACAGAATGTCCCACGGCTCGTGAGTGTCAGGGTGAATTACAGGCAGAAGCTCTGAGGCACTCAGTGGAAGGGGTGGCAGCAGTGTGAGCTGCAAGTATGTCAAGGGCGTCTGAGATCCATTCTCTAGTAGTAATGTTCTTCAGACTTCAGGGAGAGTGCCTGGATCTATAGAGCAGCCAACCTCCATTTAAAGAAAAGCAAGGAAACTGATTTTCCTGTGTTTCTTCAGCACAGAGTGATCTCTGACCCAAAAAGCAGTGTTTGAATGGCTACTTACCACTTTGGAGATCGACAAATTATTTATTATTATAGCTATTATCACATATTTCCATCCATGCACACACACACATTTACATATATGTAAATATCCTGAATAATGCAAGCACACCTCATTTTATTGCACTTTATTGTGCTTCACAGATACTGTGTTTTCTTTCACATTGAAGGTTTGCGGCAACGCAACCCTGTGTCCAGCAAGTGTATCCGGCACCATTGCACATGCTCGTTTTATGTCTCTAAGTTACATTTTGGCAGTTCTCATAATAGTTCAAACTTTTTCATTATTATTATATCTGCTATGGTGGTCTGTGATCAGTGGTCTTGGATGTTACTGTTGTAACTGTTTCGTGGTGCCATGATACACATCAATATAAGATGGCAAACTTCATTGATAAAGTGTGTGTGTGTTCTGACTGCTCTGCCAGCGTACTGTTTTCCCATCTCTCTCCCTCTGCTTGGGCCTCCCTGTTGCCTGGGATCAACAGTACTGAAATTAGGCCAATTAATAACCCTACAGTGGCCTCTAAGCGTTCAAGTGAAAGGAAGAATCACATATCTCTCACTTTCAATCAAAAACTGGAAACAATTAAGCTTAGTGAGGAAGGCACATCAAAAGCCAAAATAGGCCGAAAACTAGGCCTCTTGTACAAGATGGTTAGCTAAGTTGTGACTGCAAAGGCAGAGTTGTTGAAGGAGATTAGAAATGCTACTCCAACGAACACATGAATGATAAGAAAGCAAAATAGCCTTATTGCTGATATGGAGAAAGTTTGAGGGGTCTGGATAGAAGATCAAACCAGCCACAAAATTCCCTTAAGCCAAGGTCTAATCCAGAGCAAAGTCCTAACACTTTTCTATGCTATGAAGGCTGAGAGAGGTAAGGAAGCTGCAGAAGAAAAGTTTGAAGCTAGCAGAGATTTAAGGAAAGAAGCCATCTCCATAACAAAAGTGCAAGGTGAAGCAGCAAGTGCTGATGGAGAATCTGCAGCAAGTTATCCAAAAGATCTAGCTAAGACAGTTGATGAAGGTGGCTACAATAAACAATAGATTTTAGTGTAGACAAAACAGTCTTATCTTGGAAGAAGATACCATCTAGGACTTTCGTAGCTGGAGAGGAGAAGTCAATGCTTGGCATCAAAGCTTCAAAGGGCAGGCTGACTCTCTTGTTAGGGGCTAATGGAGCTGAGTGGCTTTAAGTTGAAGCCAGTGCTCATTTACTACCCATAAAACCACAGGGCCCTTAAGAATTATACTGATTCTACTCTCCTGGGCTCTATAAATGGAACAACAAAGCCTGGATGACAGCATATTTTTTAATAGCATGATTTACTGGATATTTTAAGCCCACTATTGAGACTTACAGCTCAGAAAAAGATTCCTTTCAAAAGATTACTGCTGGCCAGGCGCGGTGGCTCAAGCCTATAATCCTAGCACTCTGGGAGGCCGAGGCTGGCGGATTGCTCAAGGTCAGGAGTTCGAGACCAGCCTGAGCAAGAGCAAGACCCCGTCTCTACTAAAAAATAGAAAGAAATGATCTGGACAACTAAAAATATATATAGGTATATATAAAATTAGCCGGGCATGGTGGCACATGCCTGTCTGTAGTCCCAGCTACTCGGGAGGCTGAGGCAGAAGGATTGCTTGAGCCCAGGAGTTTGAGGTTGCTGTGAGGTAGGCTGATGTCACAGCACTCTAGCCCGGCCAACAGAGCAAGCGAGACTCTGTCCAAAAAAAAAAAAAAAAAAAAAAGATTACTGCTCATTGACAGTGTACCTAGTCACCCAAGAGCTCCAATGGAGATATGCAAGGAGATTAATGTTGTTTTCATGCCTGCTACAAAATATTCATTCTGCAGCCCATGGATCAAGGAGTAATTTCAACTTTCAAGTCTTATTATTTAAGAAATACATTTTGTCAAGGCCATGGCTTCCATAGGTAGTGATTCCTCTGATGGATCTGGGCAAAGTAAGTTGAAAACCTTTTGGAAAGGATTCATCTTTCTAGATGCCATTAAGAGCATTCATGATTCATGGTAGGAGGTCAACATAACAACATTAACACAAGTTTGGAAGAAATTGATTCCAAACCTCATGGATGATTTTGAGGGGTTTAAGACGTGAGTGGAGGAAGTAACTGCAGATGCGATAGAAATAGCAAGAGAACTAGAGTTAGAAGTGGAGTCTGAAGATGTGACTTAATTGCTATAATTTCATGATAAAACTTTAAAAGATGAGGAGTTGCTTCTTATGGATGAGCAAAGAAGGTAGTTTCTTGTGGTGGAATCTACTTCTGGTGAAGATGCTGTAAACATTGTCGAAATGACAGCAAAGGATTTAGAATATTACATCAACTTAATTGATAAAACAGCAGCAGGTGTGAGAGTATTGACACCATTTTTGTGAGAAGTTCTAATATGTGTAAAATGCTGTCAAATAGCATCATGTACCACAGAGAAATCTTTTGTGAGAGGAAGAGGCAATTGATGCAGCAAAGTTCATTGTTGTCTTATTTTAAGAAATTGCCACAGCCACCCCAGCCTTCAGCAACCATCACCCTGATCAGAGAGCAGGCATCAAGGCAAGGCCCCTTTTCAGCAAAAAGATTAAGACTCACCGAAGGCTCTGATGATTGTTACCATTTTTTAGCAATAAAATATTTCTAAATTACGGTATGTACATTTTTTTAGACATAATGCTCTTGCACACTTAATATGCTATAGTATAGTGTAAACGTAACTTTTATGTGCATTGGGAAACCAAATAATCTTTGTGACTTGCTTTATTACGGTGGTTTGGAACTGCACTCACAATATCTCTGAGGTATACCTGTAAACAAAAAGTTGCTTTTGAACAAAAATAATAACAAACTTAGTGATTTTCCATAGCCTCTTATTCCTGAAAGTAACCTTAGGCATGTGGTCCAAAGTTCCTGTTTTTACAGATGTGAATCACAGAGTTGTTACCACTCTCCTGGGGCCATGCAGTCAGGTAGCTGGAAGCTGAGAGGTGGCCATGGTCTCAGTATCTAGCGATATTTCCATATACTATGAATGAATTAATTTAATTTTAGAACGTAACTCGTTTTTTGTTTTGTTTTGGTTTGGTTTTTTTGCGGTGGGGTCTCACTATTTTGCCCAGGCTAGAGTGCAGTGGCTATTCATAGGCACAATCATAGTGTACTGCAACCTCAAACTCCTGGCTTCAAGTAATGCTCTTGCCTCTCAGCCTCCCGGGTAGCTGGGTCTACAGGCACGTGTCACCTCCCCGGACTTAGGGTATAACTCTGCATGAAATAGTATGTAGATTAGAAAATGACCCCCAGAAGAAACCTAGGTCATTTTTCATTTACATCTATACCAGACCACAGTTAAGTTTGTTAATCCACATAAGATTCTGCCTAAGTTTATTCTTTAATTTTCCTTAGTAGTAACACCGTTGATAAGAGATATTGAAAAACAATGGTCTGTTGTGTTGCTTTTCTGCCTGGATAAAGTATCTTTTGAGAACCAGGAATGTGGAAAAAGCTGGCCAAAAATATGGCCCTCATGATACAGGGCCTTTAAAATGAGGATGTCTTGTGAATAGCCCAGGAGGGTGGCTTTTTCTTTTTGTTCCCTCAACCCTTTGCCTCCCTTCAGTGCAGGGAGCGACAGCTTAGTGCTGCAGCCCCCTCTGCTCCTCACCTGCACAGCAGACTGATGTTTCCCTTTCCGTCTGGTGCCTTCACGATCATTTGCATTATTTGAGGATTATTATTCTTTATAGGATGATGTTATTTCTTATGTTTGTTTGCTCTGATCTGCTGAACATTTAAATAGTATATTAGCTTTGATGCTATTTCAAAAGAGGGGATTGCTGTCATTATATCTGAAATGTCTTGTGTACACCTTTATCCTGGTGTCTGTCATTATGCCCCAGACAGAGCTGATACTGAGCAAGTAGGTGGTGGTAAATAAACAAAGGAGTTTGAGATTTTGATGCTTATACTTTCCTAAGTATGTCTGGCCACCACTTAATTGAGTACCTTATTTCCAATGCTGCCATATTATCATAACTACTCTGCTAATACCCCCCAAAATAAAGAAAAATAAACTCATTTTGTAGGAGCCTTCTGTATTAATAAGACCTAAAATAATATATAGAAATAAATGCCTTAATTCCAAGTTGCCTTAGTATTAATGGTACACAAATTAGATCCCACATTTTAATCTTACAAATGCCCCTTTGTATGTTGAAGAAAATATTCACCCAAACCCCAGTAGTTTGGATTCTTAATATAGATTTTGTTTTCATTACATAACGTATCTGATCAGCTTTGTAATTATCAATAGTGCTAAGGACCCAAGGTCAAGAGCTCTGGGTATTGAGCAAGGTGCAGGAAAACTGGGAGAGAGATTTCTCTCAAAACCTGACTAAGCTGTGGTCCTGTGGAGGGAGGACGTGGGCAAGAGGAGATCCAGAATGCTGAACGGGGTGAAAATGGGATGGAGAGCAGGAGTACTAAAGTCACCAGAGCTCGGGTTTAGAGACCAGCCCGGATGGTAGTCTGGGATGATATTTAGAAATTTATCAGTATTTCTGGCTGCCAAGCATGTGAACATCCTTGCATGTTTAAGGAATTCCTCATTCCTATGTTTTAAGGAATCCCCTTATAGAAGCTCAGTATGCTAGACATTTGCCTTTGCAGCCTTTCATAGAGCTAGAGCATGAGAACTCCATCTAGATGCCACCAGTCAAGGGACCCTGCCCCAGACATTGATGTAGAAACTACAGTAGTGAAGTGGGACCGTGCTGAACCCATCCTAATGAGGGCTGGTAGAAGTGGTTGCAGCTACATATAGGGCCCAAAGGCAGCATTTCTGGCAGGAGTTCCTGATGTCCGTTGTGTGGATGATGGAGTTGAAAGCCATAAACTCTGGTTTTAATTGTGTATTGTGTCTTGTATCATATAGTTAATAGTCTTAGTTGTGTATTGTGTTAGGTATCTATTGCTACATAGCAAATTACCCCCAAATTTAGCAGCTTGAAATAACAAACATTGATTATCCCACAGTCTCGGTAGATCAGGAACCTGGGTGTGGTTTAGCTTTGTCCTCTGCTCAAGGTGTCTCATGAGGCTGTAATTAAGGTGTTAGCCGGGACTGTAGGCTCGACTGGGGGCAGCTCTTCCTCACTCAAGGGATTGTTGTTGGCCCGTTTCAATTCCTTGAAGGCTGTTGGCCTGTCTCACATCCTTGCCATGTGGATCTGACCATTTCACAACTCACAATACCAGCGAGAGAGAAACATATGTCTGAGAAGGGGGGGTGGCAAGCAAAGAGGAAGGCATAGTTTTCCTGTAACCTAATCTCAGCAGTGACATCCCATCAGTTTTGCTGTATCTTATTTGTAGAAGTGAGGCACTAGGTCCAGCCCACATTCAAGGAGAGGGGATTACAGAAGGGCATGGGTACCAAGAGGCAAGGGACATTGGGTGCTATTTTAGAGGCTGCCTGCCACAGTGGCCTTGGCCACTTAGCCTCGGAGCCTGGTTGTATCCTACCTCCAACCTTCTAATCAATTCAGTACTCAATACCCTATTAAAATTTCCTTTTGCGGTAAGAAGGCTTACTGTATCTTACTGATAGAGAGAGCTAGCTCCCTAGAAACCCTTATCAGGCTCCTAGGCCTTGCCCTCTACTGCTCTTTATTATTTACACTTACTTTTTCTGAATATAAATTGGGAAATGCCGAAAAGGAGAAAATAACTATTAATATCATCATAATACTGTTACTCATAGATAATTACCCCTAACAATTGACCCTATTTCTTTCCAGACTTTTCCCCCCTGTGTTTTTATACAGGGGATCATGTACGTAGTTCTTTAACTGTATGTCTTGCCATCTTATTACGAGAATTTTCCCTTGTCAAAAAGCCCCTGATTTCTGCAGTGTGTTTGTAAGTGCGTCAAGAGTGGTCTGGTCCTGGGGAAAGTGTTCAAGCTGGGGAGGAGTCCCGCTGCACTGTCTGTGAAAGAGGGGCTTGCTAAATGCCAAGGGGCACAGCAAGTAAGTGTTAAGGACATGTTTGCCTGTTTGGGATAACAGGCTATTTTAGGAGCCTTAGCATGTTGGTTGTTGTCTTAGTCCCTTTGGACTGCCACGACAAAATACCTTAGACTGGGTAACTTATAACAACCGAAATTTATTGCTCGCAGTTCTAGAGGCTGGGAAGTCCAAGATCAAGGTGCTGGCATATTTGGTGTCTGGTGAGAGCCCATCCTCATAAATGTGTCCTCCCATGATGTAAGGGGCAAGGGAGCTTGGTGGAGCCCTCATGGTTAATCACTTCCCAAAGGCCCCACCTCTTAACATTGGGTATTAGGTATTAGGTTCCAATATATGGATTTTGAGGGACACCAACATTCAGACCATAGCAGTTGTACATAATGAGATGAGGTGATACTTGTTGTGATGAGTCATATATTCCTGAAAAGAAGTCTGGTCTGCTTTTTATTTAAATATAGTATCCCTAATTAATTATATTTAATTGAAAGTAATGACTTCCTTTTTAAAAAATTCTCTTCCTCCCTTATTCTGCTCCTAAATCAAACTCTCTTACTTTCTAGTCAGTAATGATTAGCCAAGGGATAGCACACTTTATTTTCATTTTTACTTTTTAAAAATGATTTTTAATTATGGTAAAGTACATATGACATAAAATCTACCTACTTACCATCTTAACCATTTTCAGGTGCATAGTTCAGTGGTACTAAATACATTCACATTGTTGTGCAGCCAATCTCCAGAACTCTTCATTTTGCAAAACTGAAACTCTATACCCATTCAGCAAGAAATCCCAATTCCCCCCTCCCCCAGCCCCTGGCCACCACCATTCTACTTTCTGTCTCTATGAATTTGACTGCGCTAGGTATCTCATGTAAGTGGAATCATACAATATTTGTCCTTTTGTGTCTAGCTTATTTCACCAAGCCTAATACCTTCAAGGTTCATCCATGTTGTAACATGTATCAGAATTTCATTCTTTTTAAAGGCTAAATAATATTCCATTGTATTTAATATATATGTTCCAATTTTGTTTATCCATTCATCCATCAATGGATACTTGGGTTACTTCCATCCTTTGACTATTATAAATTTATTTCCATTTTTAAATGGAGTGTTTTTTTCCATTTCAGGGCAAGAAGTTGCCTTATCACCTTGGGGATGATGCAGAGGAAGGGGAAGTTTCTGATGAAGACAGTGCAGATGAAATTGAAGAGGAGTGCAAGTTCAAGCTCCATTATGTAAGTTATAGGCATGGCCATACTTTTTAAAATTTTTTTTATTTCACCATACTATGGGGGTATAGATGTTTAGGTTACGTATGTTGCCCTTACCCACCCCCCAAGTCAGAGCTTCAAGCGTGTCCATCCCCCAGATGGTGCGCATCGCACTTGTTATGTATGTATATACCCGTCTCCTCCTCCCTGCTCCCACCTGCCCGACACCCAATAAATGTTATTCTTATATGTGCACTTAGGTGTTGACCGGTGAAACCAATTTGCTGATGAGTACATGTGGTGCTTACATACTTTTTATCCTCGATGTGCTACAGTAAAAATGGGGTCCCAAATTATTGCTGTACTGAAGTCCTCACAAACATAGAGGCTATATGTCGAAAGGATGTTTATTGAAAACTACTTTGTGTGCTGATACACAGATACTCAAATGTTTGTTGAGTGAATGAGTCAAGGATTCTTGTGTCTTAGAGTTGGAAGGAATGTTAGTGATTTATCCATTTAACCCCTGTCCAGGGACAAATCTCCTCCTATTACAAATCCAAAAATCAAATTGCAGTTGGAAATGTTACTATCTTGGATGAAGAATATCTGGCTGTAGCATTGCCTTCCCTGGCTCATGCTACCAGCCCCCCGTGCTACCTGTCAAGGGTGGCTGGAAGAGCTCCAGCTGCACGCGGGCCTGCTTCTTTAGGATGCCCATCCCCTCCCTATGAAAATGTACCTCAGACCGGAGGATTTCCAAGGCTTTCCAGATATGGGACTCCTGGCTAAGTCTTTAACTTGCCACATCTTGAATAAAGTGGCACAGAATCGTTTGCTACCTGCTTGGTGCTTGACACCCTTACCTCTTTTCTAGATGAAAGAGCTGCCTTTGCAGCAAAGCACCAATTAGCCAGGTGATGTGAGGGAAATGCAAACCTGAAAGAAATATAAGTTTAACGAGAAGCCCCACCCCCCACCTTCCATGACTTGTATGAGTGCCCAAACCACACAACCTGAGAGTAGCACACGCTCACGATAGTTTGGTATAGGGTTTAGTATTTTATTTCCACAGAAAAGTGGTATTTCTCTAGACATTTGGGTTATGATGATGCCGGTCTGAAAAAAAAAAAACAGAAATTTTGCATAAATTCTTCTAATTTACACCATTGCCCTGAATTTAGTAATTACATTGTTAACAAGAGTCCCAGTCCCAGTCTGCTCTCTTCTAGATAACACTGTGATGCCTTGCCTGTAGGTGTGTAAGGGGCTGGCATTATTTCAAAGGGGACAAGTGCTTAATGACAGCTGAAGTCTCAGTAGACCCATCTTTCTTGGCTTTAATGCACATTAGAGGGATGAAGTGGAGAAGATACAGCTTGAAGTGAAAAGGCACAATTACCATCTGTATTAATCTCTTGCTCTTTAATAGTTTATGTTAGCTCAATTAAATACCACTAATTAATAGGGCTATAATTACAGAAAATGAACCTAAACAGATTTACATGACTGAAAATACTGTTAACATTTTAAATAGTTGTTTTTTCTCTTCTAGATATTTGTTATTTTTGTCATTAATTATTTGTGATTATGGATAATTTAGCTTTATTTTTAATTTTATTTTGTAAATCAGATTTTTGTCTCTGATTTTCATTACTTTGCATTTTGTTTCCCAGATCTCAGTTGCCAGCCTCAGTCTGTCATTTGAAAGCAGAAAACAGGTTCGATCAAATTATGTGTTTAGGGAATGCTGTTTTTAGTGAAAATCAGTGGTAGAAATTTAACTGCTATGACAGTGTAGTCATTTATTGCTAAAACCCAGGTTGTTCTAGTTTCTACATCCACCCAGCTGTATCATTCTTCTTCCGATGTCAGTGAGCCTTCCAACTTCCTAAGTTAAATATATGTAATCATAATGAAGCATTAGGAATACAGTCTTATGGGAACAAATGAGCAATTTGACCTGTGAAGTATCCAGCTGGATTCCTCTCATCTTCAAAGTCTCTTAGTTGATTTCTAGGAACCCATGTAAGTAGATAGTTTAGAACATGATTCCATAAAATTAGACATGATCTTTCATTTGGATTCTTTGATTTGGCCCAAACTAAAAGTAGAGCATCTTAATTGTAAAGGTTTACAGGGGTCTCTTTGTTATATTTTGGGAGAGAAAATACATAAAGAAACCAAAATTATAGAAATATGTAAAGTTTATACTTCATCTTTTCCAAACCACTTTTTGCTCCTTTTGAGCTCTTCTGAGAAAAGGCAATGCTGTGTTTAGAAAGCCAAAGTGCTATCTTGTAATCTGTCAATTTATAGTCCTAGTGTTGACAGAGGGCTCAAATGCCTTATCTGAGTGATGAATTTAAATTGCCTGATCTAGCCAAATACCTGACATATTTTTGCAAAAGAGGGAATACTGTGTATTGCTTATGTGAACCAATAATTACCTCAAAGGAAGCTCTTACCATCAGTTTTAAGTTGATGGAATGTGATTAGATTTATATCTGAATTATTGCAATAAATAAAAATTTTAACTGAGCATTCATAGACACTGGAGCACTAACTCTCATGAAGTTATATAAAATTCATTTGTGCATTTAACACATTTTTATTGAACATCTCCTGTAGGAGATGTGCCCATCACTGTTGTAGGTGTTGGGGCATCTATCAGTAACCAAACAGACAAAAATCCTTACCTACGTGGAGTTTACTCATGAATGAGAAAGGAGGAGAATAGACAAGAAACAAGACAAATAAATAAAATGTACATGTATAGTGTAATAGACAGTGATAAGTGCTAAAAGAAAAAAGGGTGTGTGTGTGTACGTGCGTGTGTGCATGTCTATGCCCATGCTTATTCATGTGTGTGTGTGAAGGTGGGTGTGTGAAGTTTTAGATGAGATGTCCAGGAAAGGCTTCACAGGGAAGATGCTTTTAAGCAAAGAAGCGAAGAGGTAGCCAAGTTGATACCTGGGGAAGAATGTTGCAGGCAGAAGGAATCCCAAGAGCAAAGGTCAGAAGGTAGATTTGCGGCTCAGGACTCCTAGAGTTACCCTGGTGTTAGAAGCAGATGAGGAGAACAGGACTCCTGTTACCTCTAAGTAAGCTATTCAAACCATGCCATAAGGCTTTTTGCTTCTGTAATAAATGCTTTCTGTTGTTGAATTAATTGAATTCTTTAAGCTTTTGGCACATATTATTTTGTGGCTTCAGTCAGAGAAAATCTGATTCATAATGTATAAGCCACAAAATAAAGCCAGTGTGTTCAGTCACCCACGATCATATTGCACAAAGACGCAGGACAATTTCCTTTTAACCACAGTACGGTAATCTAGCAGATTTGATTCCTTGAGACCAGCTAACCATGATTCATCTTTATGAGGTCCTCTGATGTCAATGTGCCTTACAGACTTCTCAGACCCTTATTTCAACTTCACTGATTTTTTTACCTCTTCTGCTCATTTATTCAACATCTTCTTTCTTGCGCTCTCCGAATCCGTGTTTAGCCAGCCTCTCAGGCATAAACGTCAGCTCTCTATCTCCTACATGAAGCTCATCTGGTAAACACCAAGCCTTCCAACATGTTCTAAATGTTCTAAATGGGGTCCCAAATTATTGCTGTACTGAAGTCCTCACAAACATAGAGGCTATATGTCGAAAGGATGTTTATTGAAAACTACTTTGTGTGCTGATACACAGACACTCAAATGTTTGTTGAATGAATGAGTCAAGGATTCTTGTGTCTTAGAGTTGGAAGGAATGTTAGTGATTTATCCATTTAACCCCTGTCCAGGGACAAATCTCCTCCTATTACAAATCCAAAAATCAAATTGCAGTTGGAAATGTTACTATCTTGGATGAAGAATATCTGGCTGTAGCATTGCCTTCCCTGGCTCATGCTACCAGCCCCCCGTGCTACCTGTCAAGGGTGGCTGGAAGAGCTCCAGCTGCACGCGGGCCTGCTTCTTTAGGATGCCCATCCCCTCCCTACGAAAATGTACCTCAGACCGGAGGATTTCCAAGGCCTTCCAGATATGGGACTCCTGGCTAAGTCTTTAACTTGCCACATCTTGAATAAAGTGGCACAGAATCGTTTGCTACCTGCTTGGTGCTTGACACCCTTACCTCTTTTCTAGATGAAAGAGCTGCCTTTGCAGCAAAGCACCAATTAGCCAGGTGATGTGAGGGAAATGCAAACCTGAAAGAAATATAAGTTTAACGAGAAGCCCCACCCCCCACCTTCCATGACTTGTATGAGTGCCCAAACCACACAACCTGAGAGTAGCACACGCTCACGATAGTTTGGTATAGGGTTTAGTATTTTATTTCCACAGAAAAGTGGTATTTCTCTAGACATTTGGGTTATGATGATGCCGGTCTGAACATGTAGCAACTTTTGTCTTATACTGTAAAGCAAAGATTTAGTCTGTGTATATCTATTTCTCACTGAACATTTTAATCGTTTTCCTCCTTTCTCACTACTTTAGTTACAGTTTCATCTTCTTTCCTAAGGTATTCCTTTTATGTTTTGAGCCATTTTAAGGAGTAGGAATCCTGGTGGTTTAAAATGTATCAGCACTCCCAGAGCGGATGGGTTTTACCTCTTGAGAGTGTGAGTTCTTGCTACTGAAAGTGTTCGCTCTGAGTGGAAATGCTCACGTGCTGGGGAGCCCTGGCAACAAGGGGAGGGGAATGAGGAAGGTGACTTGGAAGATCTCTGGAAGGCTGCACTTGTTTCTAGTATGTGATACGACTGCTCCTTAAGCAGAAGAACATGTTTTAAGGGAGCTAAAGGAGCAAGCAGTCAACAGTAGAGGACAGGAGTAGAGGCACAGATGCGAATGGCTGAGAAGCAGCTGCTCTGCAGCCCGAGACCTTCGGGTAAGGGCTGGGACAGCTGTAAGGCACTCACAAAGGGCAGCCATATTGTTCTTCCTGTCTCCAGACTCTAGCCCAAAAGGAAAAGAAAAGACTTTTGGGAATGTTGAGATACTCCAGTTTTTTTGTTTTTGTTTGTTTGTTTTTTAAAGCAGAGATCCTCAACTTTGTCTGCAGATTGGAATGACAGGGGAGATTTTAAAAATCCCAGTGTCTGGGTTCCAGCTAAGAGATTCTGATGTATTGGTTTGGGATATGGCCTCAGAATTTTGAGCAGTCCCTGGTGATTCCGGTGCATAGTGGAGGTAGAGCGCCACTGTTTGAAAGGGTCCCTCTTAAGGAGCGGCGCCCCTCCAACCCGTCTCTCCCCTTTCCTGCTTCTTTCCAGCTGGGAAGGACAGTTGTGGTTTGGGGCAGCCCTCTGCTTTTTCAGCGATGCTTTAGTTTCATGCTGGAGACAAAATGAGAATGTGTTTGTGTGTTTGATTGATTGATTTGTGGTAGAGAAAGACTCCTGGATCCAATTTACCTCTCAGAAAAGGGAACTGGGACCTCTGATTACTACTCTGACGGAAACTCCTTCTGACCGTATTGATGGCTGCCTTCCCTTTCCCCTCAGCTGCCCCGTCTTCCTCTCCCCCTGGCCCAGAGAACAAAAAAACAAGATACATGTGGCTTTCAGCTGTGGTCTCTGCCACAGCTGCACAGTGGCTGGTGGGTCTCTAGGTCAAGTGTCTGTCTCAGCTTCCTTTCAGTAGTGCCACTGGGTTCCAGGACCAAATGATAATATATTAATGAAACCTCAGCCACACATTTATTTGTTCTTCGTGGCTGCCAGTTTTCTTGTGCTGTAAATCACAGAGAATAAAATGATCAACAGGCAGAGATAGCATTCCTTCAGCAGCTCCCAGTGTTTAGAGAACGTGAAGTGAATAGTTATAGCCTTTGTGTTAAGCATTCATTATTTCACCAGTGCCATTCGGCCCTGGCTTTGTATTTTGAGACTTGCTTTGCTGACAGTGAAAGCGACTTGGCATAATGGCCGCGGTTCATCTCCTTACTGTCTCGGACTGTTTGTGAGCCCCTGGGCAAGAGAAGGAAACGGATGCTCATTCGGAGCCTCCTGCATGAGACTGGGCACGCTAGGTGCTCTTACCTGCTTTCTCTCTGTTCTCCCAACAAACACGCTCTCCACCAGGCTCTGGGTCGCTTGATCAAATGCGCTAGAGGTTAGAGACCTGGAGTTCTTTTCTTGGATCTGCTTCTGACCTTAAGTGAAACCTACTGTTTTCCCCAGGGGGATTACAGTGATGTACTTCCCAGGTTTCAGGATAGGAATAATCGTTGTTTAAAATATGAGCCTGCTCATGATTATTATTATTTTTTTTAAAGACAGGGTCTCACTCTGTTGCCCAGGCTGGAGTACCGTGGTGTGATCATAGCTCACTGCAGCCTCAGAAACCTGGGCTCAAGTGATTCTCCTGCCTCAGCCTCCTGAGTAGCTGGGGGCTATAGATGAGGATCACCACGGCTAATTTAGAAACATTTTTTTAGAGATGGGGTCTTGGTATATTGTCCAGGCTGGTCTTGAACTCCTGGCCTCAAATGATCCTTACTACTCAGCTTCCCGAGTAGTTGGGATTACAGGCACAAATCACCACACCCAGGTCTGCTCATGATTAGTTTGACTCATGAATTTATCTTTTTCTGTAACAATATAAAAGGGATGGATGCAGCATCGTGTGGCAAAAGAGACACAATTTCGAATGAGAAGTCTTGGGTTCAAGTTCCAGTTCAGCCCTTTCATAGGCATGTGTGTTTAGAGTTGCTGAATCTTTCTGCCTCTGTGTCATTATGAGAAAGAATTGGCTAACCCCAGTGCTTACTTTAAAAGGTGTTTGTTGCTCAAATGAAGTATTGTTATGTGACAGTGCTTCGGGACCCTTGACACAAGACAGTAGTCCCCCTTTATCTGCAGTTTTGCTTTCCACAGTTTAGTTACTCATGATCAATTGTGGTCCAAAAATATTAAATAGAAAATTCCAGAAATAAACAATTCATAAGTTTTAAATTGTGCAGCATTCTGAGTGGCATGATGAAATCTTGCACCATCCTGTTCCATTTCACCTGGAACATGAATCATCCCTTTGTCCAGTGTATCCATCCATTACTATGTAGGAAGAAAAAATAGTGTATGAATAGGGTTTGGTACTATCCATGGTTTCAGGCATCCACAGGGGATTTTGGAATATATCTCCCACAGATAAGGGGGACTACTATATACAGTCTTAGTTGCTTTCTCTATGTTCTACTGTGGCTCTTTTCTCCGTGTTCTTATGGTTACTAGTTATTTTGATACTGTTTGTTTTCTCCATGCTTTTGTTCACATCGAAATGCTGTTCTTCTGTCCTTTGCCAGATGAACAGCTCTTATTCGTTGTAGTGGGTTGACTTGGCCACTAGAAGACAGGTGTAAATCATAACCCCTGATATGTGTAAATGCGACAGTATTTAGAAAAGGGGCTTTGCAGATATAATAGGGATCTCAAGATAATATAATTCTGGACTAACCAGGTGAGGCCTAAATCCAATCACAAGTGTGCTCACAAGAAGAGATGATACCGACGAAGGGGGGACACATAGGAGAAGGCCATGTGAAGGCAGAGGCAGAGATTGGAGTGATGCTGCCACAAGCCAAGGATACCTGGAGCCCCCAAAAGCTGGAAGAGGCAAGAAGGGATCCTCCCCTAGAGCCTTCGGAAAGAGTGTGGCCCTGCCAACACCTTCATTGCGTACTTTTGGCCTCCAGATCTGTGAGAAAATAAATTTCTGTTGTTTTAAGCTACCAAGGTTATGGTCATCTGTTACAGCATTCACGGGAAACTCATACGCTCATCTTTTAAGACGTGGCTCAGGTGTCCTCTGCTCCTGGAAGTCTCCTGAATTCCCAAGACTGGGCAGAGTGCCCCTCTGTGCGCACATGACAGCCCGCACACTCTGCTCTGCCACTCTTCCTGTTCTTGCGTGTGTAACTATCCATTGCGGTGTCAGCCTTCCCTGTGACGCTGAGGGTTCTGTGACGTGGCAGTGTTCCTCTGCAACACAGAGCAGCGGCTTGCTCCATGTTTGTTTCATGCAAAATGAGTTTTGCTCTCAAACTTTTGCTCATGTTTATTAAATCCTCTGGCACACTAGCCTGGGCACTTAGTGCCTGCATTGGGGCTACTATGCCTGGTTTTCATCTGCAGACACCCTTCCTCTTTCACCACATGCTGCCAGATTGATATTATTTCTAGAGTACTCCTCGGGCACTTGTCCACTCTCACCAGAGACTCTCAGACTCTTGCTTTCAAGTCCCTCCATTCCCTAAGGTACTTTATCTGCCACTACTCTCCTCCACTGCTGCTCTAGGGAAATTCGTGTGTTCCTTGTGTTTGTAGAACGTGCTTCACTCATCTAAATCCTTTGTTAGAACTATGGATGGGAGGAAAGCCCTTCTCTCCATCGTTGTTGAAATAATTACCACGAGAATCCCAGTCAGTTCCCACCTCTTCGTTGAGGCCTTCTTGGTCACTGAGGCAGGAATGCCATGTTTTTTTCTCAGAACCTCTGTTGTACTGGGTGTCTGTGCTTTTGTAGGGATCTATGGAGAGCAAGGTAAGATATTTGGGAACACGCTTTTGCTAGCATAATGGGGTTTTCCCTTTTGATGTCAAAGGCCACCTCTTTTCTATCTGTGCACCTCCTTCTAGACCTGAGGGTCTCCAGTGAAGTGGAGTGCCTCATTCCTTGGGTATGTTAAAGATATTAATGCGTATAATAGTGATATAGGGAAATTCAATAGCTATCCTGTTGTAGATTTTTAAAAATTTTGCCTTAGGGCATTCATATTGCTTTGTGTAGGATTTTTTGAAAATGAATTCATTATTGGAAAGCTACTCATTTTGTAGGGTTCAAATATAATGACCTCTTAGAAATACATTTGCAAATGGAAAAATGGTCTTAAGCTTTTGGTGAAGAATGTGGGAATTGTTCATAGGGAGGAGTATTCCTTTCCTTATCTTTGCACGGATTGGTCTTTGGCAAGTGGTTGAAGAATTTACAGAGAGGTACTGGGCAGAGGCAGAGGGAGGAGTGAGCACAGTTGAAGAGCCGAAGAACAGTGAATAGATGCTGGGCCTGTTGGCTTCAGGCAGAGCGAGGTGGCTAAAAAGCTGTGCTAAACAAGACTTCAGAGAAATCTATATCCCTTGATCGCCTCACAGTTGTATAAGTCATCATCTGGATATGGGTGTAGCTCTATTATCCAAAACCCTTGAAATTAGTTGTGATCTTAAAGTATTAATAATTGTAATGACAAATCATGGTACAAGTGAGTATTGAATTCCCTCTAATTATATAGTGGGGTTAGAGATAAGAAAGAAATTTTATCTCAGAATAATCCTCAATTTTATAAATTTCCATAGTATTCTTTTTTCCTCAGTGAAGAAAGTGATTTTTTTAAATTACACGTTTTTGCTCAAACTCACCTAATGTAGGTTTAGAAAATTTAGTCTCAAAAAACTTTCCCTGGCCTTTCACCTATTGAAAGCATGAAGTAGCATAGAGGGAAGGGCTTTGGAGTCCTGAATTTGGATCCTGCCTGAGTTACTTGCTAGCTCTGTAACCTTGAGCAACTAACTTAATTTCTCTATGCATCAGATTCTGTATTACTGAAGTGGAAATGATAATAAGACTTTATAAGGTTCTTGAGAGTTGAATGCAGTCACAGGAAGAGTAGCTGGCAGAAAGTGAGTTCTTAATAAATAGTAATCATTATTATAGTATTTGTGGAGAAAGGAGGACCAAAATGGTAGAATGAGCTTAATTTCTTACAGGTAATTAGAAAATAATGAAATTATGGAAGCAATCGTGGCTTGAACAAAGGGTGTATTCTAATTAATTCTGTGTTTCTTAAGAAAAATCATTTGTATTACTTAATTCTTTGCAGAATAATGGGACCACTGAGCATCAGGTGGAATCTTTCATAAGGAAAAAACTGGAGTCACTGTTAAAAGAATCTCAAATTCGAGATAAAGAAGATCCTGATAGTTTCACAGTGAGGGCACTACTGAAGGCAACTCATGAAGGCTTAAATGCACACCTAAAGCAGGTATATGGTTCCCTCTTTTATTTGTCTTTTGACAGGAAAAGAAAGCACTGCATACTTTGTTTCCAATCATTTGTCATTTGTGAAATGCTTCTTCAGCTTCCATTTCTATCCTCATATTGCTCGAGAAATGAAAATCTCCAATTGCAAAATGATATAAGAAATAGTTACAAGTAGATGGGTAGGTGGGGGTGGAAATGACTCAAATATTGCTTTGCTGGGACCCTGAGGACAAGGCCCAGTGTCCCTGGACTCATCTTCCCAATGCACTCTCAGTCGAGGAAAGAGGTTTCAACCCACCATGTGCTCACCCTCCCACCTCTCATGTCCAGTCAGACTCTGGAGCTTGCACCTCCTGAGTCTGTTCACTTCTCTTTGTGGCTGTGTCCTAATCTAGACCAAACTCAACTCTCACCTAGACTTCTCTTGCCTGCTTCAATCTATTCTCCACTCTGAAATCAGTACGATTTTTAAAAGATGCATATCTGATCATGTTACTCCACTGCTTAAAATTCTTCAGTGGCTTCCAATTACGCTTGGGATGAATTGCAAACTCTTTAACCAAACTTTCAAGGACCTGCATCATTACATCCCTGCCTGTATTTGTTTCCCTGTCCCACCATCTTCCACATTGTCACGCCAGCCACTATTGCCTTTATATGCTTCAGTCTACCTCACATTCCATTTCCTCTGCCTGGAACACCCCATTCTGACATCTTTCTAGCTAACTCCTACCTAGTTTTTTAAATTCTAGCTTTCATGGGTATCCTGAATGGGTCCTGCCTTAACCTCTGGATTAGGTTAGCTATCCCCTTTATATTGTCCACGGTAGGCTGCTTTATCTTCTCTTTTCTGAAGTTTTTTAAAAAAATACATTGCAATTTGTTCAGTGTCTGTCTTACAACTAGACTGGATTCCATGAAGACAGGAACCATGTCTTGAAAACCATTGTTTTTCTGGTTTGTATAGTGACTGGGGCTTAGTAAGACCTTCATAAATAGTTGTTGGTTGAATGGATGAGTGGATGGTTTGGGCTCTGGCTGAGATTTTTAGCTCTGCTTCCTAATAAAAATATCATAAATGGGCAGGGAAGTGGGATAGTGGGTTTAGTGATGTTCCCATTGTCGGGCAATGAGGGCATTTAGTCTGGCACAGAGGAGATCCATGTAGTTGTTGGCTAAGCTAATGCAGCCTTCCCTGCTACCACCACATGTCTTTCAGGGCTCAGGGATCCTCAGGTAGAGGGAAGAACATATGGGAGTAACCACCCTTGGATCCAAGTAACCACTCAGCAATGGTGGTTGCCCTCTAGATCCTAGGCTGCTTTTCAGGTCTGTTTTGTTTCCAGACATAGAAAACCTAATTCACAATAGCCTAAATGATGGAGAAAGATGTCGAGTTAGGTAAGTGGAAAGTTCATTTACAGAGTGGCCTTCAGGGTGCGCTTAATCCAGAGACTTAATGGTGTCATCAGAGACCTATCTTTTTGCTCTGTCATGCCATTAGTATCACCCCAAGTCTGGTTCTCCTTTCCTCAGTGGTTGCAGGGTGACTGCCAATAGGCCCATGAGATATGTTTCTTGGTCCATATCCAGGGAGAGCGAGAAAGCCTATCTGCCCCAACCAGCAAACCAGAGCTCATGGTTAGCTCTGATTGGGCAACCTAGCTCATGTGCCCGCCCCTAAGCTAATCACTATGGTCTTGAGTAATCGTCCTTCCTGAAACAATAGTTTGGCCAGGGCACAGGATAAATTGGCTTGCTAATGCCAATGAGAACTTACCCTGAACTGGTGCCAAGGTCAGTGTCTCTCAAACTGCATGTTAGAAGGGCGGATGGATTGTGGGGAGACAACCAAAGGATCAATAACAGCATCACTGCCCTTATAATTTATCATTTATAGTTTTGGGTTTTCCTTAAAATTTTTATAAATAGTAATAATCTTCTTACTCTCCTCCCCTCCAATCGCTTATTTTCAACTGTACACATGCCTGTAAGATCACATTCGGTTAGCCCAGCTTGATTCTGCTTCTTCTCGTCAGTGAACTCTCATTGGCTAGTCTGGGCCAGTCACTTCCCCTTATGTGTTTAGGGAAGTCTTGGCCCCATCCTAGATCTTTCCAATGGCAAAGGCAACCATGGGTCTTGGATGTTTTGGAAGAAACAAATTAATCCCATCTCTTTTTTTGCTATTCATTGAAGAGATCCTAATGACAATTTCCCCATCAGGTAAAATGGTAAGGAAACTTCAAATTCCAGAGATGTAATACAGCAAAACTCATCCGCCTTTTTATTATTTTTTCCTTTCCCTTAAATCTGGGTGACAGAGAGAAGGCATTAGATTAGTATAAAATAAATGGAGCCTGTGACTTTAAGAAACTGGGCTGTAAAGTGTTAGGGATTTTAACACTGCTGTGTCTTTAAAATACGGTTTTGGTTCAGTGGGCAAGTAGAGGCAAGTTACTGTTGAGACAAATCCATCCGTGCCAGATACGTATGTATGTTTAGATCCAAAGCTGAGAATGTGCCGAGTGTGGCCCAGGGCAACACATCTCTCAGCTTCTACTTCCCTAGACTGTCAGTCAGCAGTGCAGGATTGTTTCGCTTGTGCTTTTTCCTGGAGAGCCCTGAAGAAAAATAATAAAATTCTCCTTCAAGCTGGAAGAACTTAGTCGACACAGGAAAGAGTTCTTAAGAGTTCATAAATCTCCTTTTCTCTACACCTGAACTGCCAGTGTCTGGATAACCATAAGAAGTCCTGAACTGGGCTTTTCCAGCTCTCAGTGGCCCTGCCCGCTCCAGTGTCTCATTCATACCACTGCCACCGTGACAGGTCAGAAATCTGCAACTGGTCATGCCATTCTGTTTTCAACCATTCAAGGGCTCCTTATAGTTTGGAAGATTAAGCTCAAATCCAGAGATAATAGCCCAGAAGATCCTCCCTTCGTGTCCTGGACCCCAGTGGTGATGGGCTACCCAGTGCACGTGTGTATAAGTACACACACACACACACACACACACACTCCCACTTTCTTCATTTCCTGGAAGGTACCATGCTCTTACTACCTGGTCTTTGTGTTTGCTGTTTTCTTGGACAAGACACACTTCCTCTTCTCCATTTCATATAGATAACGTCTACTCGCCTTCCGGTTAGCTTTTGCATCATGTCCCCTTGCAGTCCTCCTTAATCCTCAAGTCTGGGTAGGTGGCCTCCCTGCACCATCCCACAGTGCCCTGATAGTATGTCGTGATTGTCTCCACCATTGGATTGCAAGCCCAGGAAGGACAGTCTGCATCTTGCTTGTTTGCTGTCACCCTTGTATACATGCCAAGTTCCTAGGGCAGTGTCTTACCCATGATTTTGGTGAAAGATGTGGTGCCGATGCTCAGGCAGAGGTCGAAGATGGGGATAGATGGTTGTGGATATATCTACATCCTGTGTAAAGAGGGGGAATGAGGTGGAAGAAGTTGGGTGGTGGGGAGGAAGCCAGAGGAAAGACTTAGAGCTAGACAGAAACCCTGTTTTATCACCAATTGGCTTTGTAACTTGGACCTATTATCTAACTTCACTATATTTCAGCTTTTCTTTTCTGTGAAATTGGGATTTTAATCATAGTTATCTCCAGGGATGGTTGTATATATTAAATGAAAATATATGCAATGCACTTAGCATTATCCTTGGGGTATAGTAGGGACCTACTATTAATAAATACATTAAAAGTGCCCCATTTTATTCTTAGAATGTTCCTGTCATGGATAATAAATGACATGGTCCCCCTATCAATAAATGGGCTATTATGGCCGGGCGCGGTGGCTCACGTCTGTAATCCTAGCTCTCTGGGAGGCCGAGGCGGGCGGATTGTTTGAGCTCAGGAGTTCGAAACCAGCCTGAGCAAGAGCGAGACCCTGTCTCTACTAAAAAAAAAAAATAGAAATTAATCAGACAACTAAAAATATATAGAAAAAAAATTAGCCGGGCATGGTGGCACATGCCTGTAATCCCAGCTACTCGGGAGGCTGAGGCAGAAGGATCACTTGAGCCCAGGAGTTTGAGGTTGCTGTGAGCTAGGCTGACACCACGGCACTCACTCTAGCCCGGGGAAAAGAGTGAGACTCTGCCTCAAAAAATAAATAAATAAATAAATAAATGGGCTATTACGAGTAGAAAGGAACTCACAGGTTACTTGGTCTGTTTCATGGATAAGAAAACCAAGACCAAGAGAAGGGGCTTGCCGAAGGATATGTAGCTACCTGGGGGCAGAACTGGGTCTCCTAACAGAGATACTTCTATGACCGTATCTAGCTACCTTCCTAATTCCAGAGTTTTTGATAGTTAGTGATCAGCTTTACTAGGCCTTCAAAGACAATGAGCGTACATGTTAGTTAACTGTTGACTGGTGTGCACGTACATGAACCAGTCAACAGTTAACCAACGTCCCCCTGTAAAGCCCTCACTCCTACCCTCCAGTGTTTTTGAATTGCTCTTTCTCCAACCAATTCTTGGACTCCTCCTATCCTCTTCTCACCTCTAATTGCTTCTTTGATTAGTGTCTGTGGATATGTGCAGATGCCCTTCCCAACCTGTTAGTTTTAAGTGGTTTTGCTCACCCACATTTATTCCATTTGTGTGGTTATCTCTGTTTCTTCTCTGTTTAGCTGGAATCCTGGGCAGGTAGGGTCTGCTGGTCTTTTTATACCACGTCATCAGCAGTGAACCACCTGATATATTTTTAGAGATAACAATTGGGTAAGAGTCTAAACCCTCTTAGTAGGGGGCCTTTCTGTTCCCTAACGAGACATAGGCTCCTGCAAGGATTGCTGGCCTAGGATCTCTCACCTGGAAAATTAACCCACATGAGGAAAAATTCAGAGGTTATAATAGCTCTTTCCAGTGCTCACCACAGAAGGAATTATTTCAATGAACAAATAAGCTTTGCTGTGGTTTACTTTAAATAAACAAACAAACAAAGGCAATCTTAGCACCTCAAAGATATGCTTGGATTTTATTTATTTTTAATGTTTTAAAATTCCAAAGCAATGTTCAGTCAATATGATCACTGTCTTTATTCAACAGAATTGGCTCTTAATGACTTTTGGTCATTTTCCAAAATTAAATCTACTCTTAACTGAAAATGATTTATCCCCACTCAGGACATTCAAAAGAACACCTCCTGCATTGTGCACTGTGAGGGCTGGCACAGCTGGGCATTGCTGAGAGCCCCTGACTCCAGCTTTGGGAACATGTGGGCAGCTGCTGTGTCCTGGTTGGCACCCACGCCTCTCCATGCCCATGTGTCCCTCTCTGGAGGCAGATGCAGCCACCTTTGTGATAGTGGAGGGGGGAACAGAAGGGAATGAGCAGGGTCTGTTTGCTTCCCACCTAGAGGCAAATGGAAGAGAGGAGAAGGTCTCCCTGCCATTCTCCTAGAAGTAAGAAAAAAACAAAAGCAAAGAAAAAAATAGTTACATTATACCTTTATTTACTCAGAATCCAGATGTGAAGGAAAGTGGGAAGAAATCGCATGGCCGATCCCTTATGACCAACTTTGGAAAACATAAGGTATGAATTAAGAATAATAAATATGCATAATTCAATTAATATAAAAAGATTCCGGAAGATATTATAACAGGAGAATGTCATCATGACCTTGGAATAACTGAAGATTTCTTAAACAGGACCCCAGGAAAGGAGAAGATTGATACTTAAAGTACTTTAAAATTTAAGAACTTCCATTCATCAGAAGTACCAAAAATCAAGTTGCATACTGAGAAAGAATATTTTAAATATGAATATCCAGTAACATATCCCAAAGAATGTATATTTAATGTTTTAAATGCACATATTCAGCATATAATGGATATGTTATTAAAAAGGATGTGTATATTATATATTCTTTCCTGAATATATAAATGGCTCCTACAAATCAATAAAAAGGAACCTAATTTTTTAAAAATGGGCAAATCACTTAAACAGGCACTTCACAAAGGAAGGTATCCATGTGTCTAATAAGGAAAAGAGGCTCACCTTTATCAGTCATCTGGGAAACACAAATAAAAATGACAAGCAGATTCCATATACACCCAGCACACACACAAAAGATGGCAATTACGAAGTGTTAGTGAGGATGTTGAACAACTTGAGCTCTCTGTACGGCTTGTAGGTATGTACATTTGTGTGATTAATGTTTCACAGTACCTGCTAAAGCTGCCTGTCACTACGACAAAGCAGTCCCTTTACGTATATGTCAAAAGACAGAAACAACAATATTTGTAGTGACATTATTTGTAATAGTACAAATAAGAAAACAGTAAAACAGTTCAAATATCCATCAACAATAGAATGAATAAAAATTGTAGTATATTCTCATAGAGAAAACTTAGCCATGAACATGACAAAATTATGGCTCTATGCAATAATATGGTCTTTATAAACATGATGTTGAGCAAAATAAGCCAGACCCAAGAGAGTACAGTTTGATTCCATTTATATGAAGTTCAAAACCAGGCAAAAGACCCTTTAAGGTAGAAATCAGAATAGTTGTTACCTTTGGAGAGAAAGTAATGACTGAATGGGACGATCAGAAAGCTTCTGGTGGGAGGCAGATAATATTCCATTGTCTCACTTGGGTGATTTCACTTTGTGAAAAGTCGTCACTGATGTACTTTTCTAAATGTATATTACACTTCAATAAAAAGGTAAAAAATGATATGCAAGAAAGATATGCATTATTAGATGGTGAACTTTATTAATACATTATGCATGAGGTTTCTATAAGACCATTTCTACTTTAAGGAATGTCTTATCTGGAATTTCCTGCCTGTCAATGCGATAATTTATTAATAGGCTGGGCAAATTAGTCATTATAACAAAAAATTAAAAACAACCAAAATGTTCACCCATAAGTATACTGTGATTCATTCACATAGTGGACAAGTATGCAGCCATTAAAAGATGATCACTCTGAAGAGCTCAACATGCAAAACTTTTTTCATTAAATGAAAAAAGTAAGATAAAAATTGGATTATATGGTATGCTAAGATGTATCAAAACTGTATGTACAGAAAATATTTCTCTGAATGTTATATATCATTGGTGATTCATTTCTTATTTCTACTTTTGGCATTTTATAATAAATGCATTTTAAAAAGATAAATTTATTATTATATAACTCAAATTATTAACTACATGTGGAATTAGATAATGTTTCATTTCTGTATTACAGCTTCTCATTAAAATTAAAATTATTTTTCAAAGTAAATGTTTTAGGAAGTACTTCAGCTACTATAGAATTAGAATTTATGATGCTTCAAGGCATAAGAATAATAGCTGTCCATGAGACTATTTGTAGATTATTTTTATAAATATCAACCATATTTTGAATTTAAAATTAATGTATATAGCTTACAGAATGACTTTCTATGCCATTTCATTTAATCATTACAACAATAATACTTTGAAATAGATATTATTGCCATACCCTTTCTAAAAACACAGTAAGACGCTAGAGAGGTCAACCAATTTACCAGCTCGGTGAAAGGGTGGGCTGGAACGTGAGCTCATCAGAAGGCAGGGCTCCCCTACCATGCGTACTGAGGTTCTCAGGCATAAATAACATCCTGTGAGGGGCAGGGTCAAAGTTGTAGCTGAAAAGGTTCCAAACCAAACTGGTACCTCATTGTCAGTGCAGTAGAAAGTTGAGTGTGTTTGTGCCAACAGTGTAGCTTGTTCTTTTTTTTTTTTTTTTTAATTTGTTGAATGTAAGGAAATCTGGAAGGAGACTTGGTCCTGCGGTAATCTGGGGATAGAGTTCCCTTTCCCTTTCTAAGCCATCTCCCCAGATGTCGAGGGTACTCTAAGTGTCTTACCTTTGCTTACAGAAGCTATATTTTTAATGGCAAGTTTTTCTGCAACTGTTAATGTGGTCCCTGCCCATCATTTATATAGGCTATGTGTTGCCTCAATATTGGGGCTATCTCCAAATTGGTGGGGGTGAAACCACATCATTCCAAAAAGCTTTTGTGTCAAACAGCTACTCTGTCCAGAAGATACCAGTTTAGTTCTGGAGGCTTTCAGCCTGTATCCTGTGGGTAGCAATTTTTATTCTGCTGCTAAAAATGAAAATGGGTCAAAATCTCAAAAAGGCAGTTTGATTTAGATGATCATTTGAGTACATACTGATCAAAGTCAGGCATGGTAGTTATTCTTTTGAGACAGGGTCTTGCTCTATTGCCCAGTCTAGAGTATAGTGGCATCATCATAGCTCACTGCAGCCTTCAACTCCTGGGCTCAAGCAGTCCTCCTGCCTCAGCCTCTGAATAGCTGGGCCACAGGCACACACTACCACACCCAGCTAATTTTTAAAAGTTTTTGTAGAGATGGGGTCTTGCTATTGCCCAGGCTGTTCTTGAGCTTCTGGGGGCTCAAGCGATCCTCCCACCTCAGCCTCCCAAAGTGCTAGGATTACAGGTGTGAGCTACCATACCCAGCTAGTTATTCATTTTTTAAAAGCTACTACATGTCCTTTTTGAAAAAACCAAATCTGCCTTTTATAATTCATTAATCAATAGTGAGCTTACTTTACAAAAGGATATTTTTCCCCTTATAGTCATTTAAATAGGTACTGTAGCTTTGACCCTACCCCTGGTAGAGACCTTCAAATTCACGACTAATAAAGTCTCTCAATACCTCAATATTTTTTGGCTTAGAAGTCAGTTTCTGAGCAGGAAACCCTCAATTTTGCACTAATATTTTAATATAATTATGGCCTTGGACATGGTTGTTACTAATGGTAAAGCAAACTGTAATACTTGGTCATTTTTTCCCCTCCAAGTTGTTGTGCTTGCATGTGTGTGCATTTTAAAACCCAGTCTGTTCTCTGTATGTTGTAAACACACCCGATGCAGTGAGTTTGTTAAGTTTACTACGATTTTTCTGGCAGAAAACCACAAAATCACGGTCTAAATCGTACAGTACTGATGATGAGGAGGATACACAGCAGAATCCTGGCAAGGAGTGTGGCCAGCTGTACAGGTAGGAAAGCGTCTCCAGGTTTCCTGCTCAGACTCCTGGGGCCTCTCTATCCCTGCTAGCTTGGCTGTTTCACTCGCTCGTGTCTAGAGAATTGGCTTGCAAGGTAAAGTGCTCAGTGCAGTGTGGGACTTGTGAAGATCAACTGGATATGAGATGGCTACGTGAGGGAACTTAGCACTGTGCCTGGCACAGCACAAGCTCCTCATAAATGCTAGTTGTCACAGTGGTCAAGGAAGAGGTATCTTCAGAGAAGAGGGAGGGGGCCACACAAACCAGTCAGAGGGCTATCGCAGGAGACTGAGGGGGAAGATAGATGCTCGGCACACGTCAGGAGCCAGGGATTTGAAACCAGCCAGACTTCAAATTCTTGTTTCTCCACCAATCAACTTTAACATGGGACAAGTTAGGCTCCACATTTAGATCGATCCCTTAGGGTCACTGTAAGGATTAAAGGAATTACACCAATTTGCTTCCTAAGCCCTGGCCCCATTAAACAAGTGCCCTGAAATATTGGCTACTGTTTGCTTTATTATTGCCAATAATATTTGTGATGAGTAACATGACTATATTTTCAGAACCTAAATTGTGACAAATGATCTGATGTAAGATTTTCTGGCAGTTTATTTATACCATAAGTCTCACAAAGAAATGTAAATTATATTACAGATAGATAGATATGGATGCATACACATGCACCTGTGCCTGTATTGAAAGATGAAACAAGAAACATATTTTATATTTGAGCTCCAACAGAATACATATATATAAAATAATAGCTAATTAATAAAGGCAGAGGAGGTATATGTGGTCCCCACACTCAGGGAACAGAAAATTGAATAGGTAGTTACAGTAAAGGATAAAAGAGAAACAGGATCACCTTCTGGGAGACTTCTGCTGTGAATGTTCTCAAATATAAGTTGGAGAGAGGCTTAACTCTGAAATGTATGGCCAGGGAAAGGGCAGTGTCTGAGGAAAGCCACAATGATCTTAATGTGTACAAATGAGACATTGCTACGGGCATCACATGAAATCGTGTTGCATGCCACTCTCCTGTCAATTATAGATTTTCCTGTGATAGTAACGATGGCCTGAGCATATCTGATGGTGCCATTTTGGGACTTCAGTATCCTAATCCACCTCCAGGATGAGAATTAAAAAGAGATAACTTAATGTTGAATTTCTCCATGTCATGGAGTGTCTTACAGTTTTACTTATAATTTCTAGGTATGGCTTCACACTGATTTATAATCATTAGCCTTCACAAAACCAGATTTTCACCAGTGGTTATAGAATTTCCTGAAAAGGAGGAACATGTATTCTTTCTCTCCATTCATTTTTATACCTGTCTATGTTCATGCCTCCATTCTTGGCAAAATGAACTATTAGAGCATTTTATTCTTATTTTTTTTAATTGAATGTATGTAAGTACCATTAGGGCAGGTATATTTGTCTGATTTGTTCCCTGTTTTATCTCCAGTAGGTGTGCAATAAATATTTGTTGAGTAAATAAATCTATATCACCACTATCTAATTCCAGAACATTTTCACCACCCCCAAAAGGAGCTCTTTACTCGTTAATATTCACTCCCAGCTCACTTCTCCCTCATCCTCTGGCAGCCACTAATTTACTTTTTATCGCCTTTTCTGTACGTTGTATATAAATAGAATCATACAATATTTGGGCTTTTGCACTTGGCTTCTTTTACTTGGTATAATGTTTTCAAGATTCATCCATGTTGTACCATTTACAAGTACTTCTTTCCTTTTTATTGCAGAATAATATTCTGTTTTATGGAGATACTGCATCTTACTTATTCATTCATGAGTTAAAGGACATTTAGGTTGTTTTCACGTTTTGGCTGTTATGAATAATACTGCTATGAACATTCATGTACAAGTTTTTATGTGGACATATGTGTTTATTTCTCTTGGGCTGTTCCTAGAAATGGAGTTGCTGTGTAATAGGGTAACTTTTTAAGTTTTTTAGGAACTGCCAAAACTATTTTCCAAAGCAGTTGTATCATTTTACATTCCTCCAAAATATATAAGGGTTTCAATTTTTCCTTATCCTTGTCAGCACGTGTTATTGTCTGCCTTTTTCCTTATAACTATCCTAGTGGGTGTGAAGTGGTATTTCATTTGCATTTCCCCAATGACTAACGATATTTATCACATTTTCGTGTGTTTATTGGCCATTTGTATACCTTCCTTAGTGAGGATTGTTTTTGATAGTTAGATATTCCCCTACAGAAGACGAGAGTGTATGTGAGGGTAATGTGAAAGCCTGTGGAGGACGTTACTGCAGTAGAGAGTAGTGGTACAATTTGTAAGATTGTGGAGGAGATCCTAGGAGTTGTTTGTAGGAGAGGGAGACTTCAAAAAACATGTAAGAGAAAAAAGCACTACGTAAAGTAATGCATATTTGTTTTAAGAAAGTTAAAGAATATAGAAAAAATATCAAGAAGAAAATGAAAATCTCTTGTAATTACACCTCTAAACAATAATCACTATGGAAATTTGACATATTTCTCTTTAGGTATATAATTCTTGTGACCTATAATGCAATGTTTCTATACCATTTTAGTCTAGGCTCTCCTGTCTGCAAAGGTTCACTGGTAAACTCTGGTGTTAGTCCCTAGCTGGGTAACAGTGGGAATCAAGCCCTTCACAATAGAGCTTGCAAATGCATGAGAAGAGGCTGTGATTCCTGGCAGAGCAGTGAATAAAACCACATTACAGTAGCCCCCCTTTACTCTTGAGGAATACATTTCAAGACGCCCAGCTGATGCCTGAAACCATGGACAGTACTAAACCCTATATATATTTTTTCGTTCCTTATTAAGTTGAGAACTTTTACCTCTTCACTTAAAGGAGTCACTTTATGGCTTCTCCTTGGCATATACGAAGGACCGACATCACTACTTTTGCACTTTGTGGCCATTATTAAGTAAGATAAGGGTTTACTTGAACATAAGCACTGTGACACCTCCACAGTTAGTCTGATAACCAGACCGCACTACCAAGTGACTAGCTGACAGGTAGAGCACGCAGCATGAACATGCCAGAAAAAGGGATGATTCACGACCTGGGTGGGGCAGAGCCGGACGGCACGAGATTTTATCACTCTACTCAGAGTGGTGCACAATTTGGAACTTATAGGTTGTTTATTTCTGAAATTTCCCATTTAATATTTTCAGACCACAGTTGACTCAGGGGTAACTTAAACTCTAGAAATTACAATTGAGGATTGGGCGGCATTGGGGGGCATGTCTACTATAGCAGGATTTTGTGGTGGTAAGAGTTCGGAACTAGGAATCACACAGGTTCTAATCCTGGCTCCTTTAGGACCTGGGGCAGATATTCCCTATGTAATTGTCTTAAATAGGGAAGGTGGAGTAACCAAAAGCCCAAACTTCTTTCAGCTCCAAAATGTCATGAATCCTGTGTGTGTACTTCACAGGTTGGGCCGCCGAAGGAAAACCATGAAGCTGTGCCGAGAACTTTCTGATTTGGTTGTGTACACAAACTCCGTGGCAGCCCAGGACATTGTGGATGATGGTAAGGACAGAGAGTTTTTTCTTCAGCTCTGGATAAACATTCTTGACCTTTCTTTGTTAATTAATCTTTTGTTAATCCGATCATCACCACACATTTCTGGGACTATGTAGAAACCAATTTAGGCATCAGGAAACTGGCTGCTAGTATAATGCTGAGCTCACATGGAGGCTCTACTGATCACTGTGGTTGTCTGATTGACTAGAGGTCAGAGAAATTTCCCACAGGGCCAAGGATGACTTTATTATTACAAAAAGACAGATGTATCAGAGCAAGGTCTTCTTCCAAAGCTTGACCTGTGGAGACCTAGCCTGGCTTGAGGACCAGCTTTCAGATGGCTATCCCAAAAGTGAATGAATGAAAGAAGAAATTAATCAGCTAAAATTACATCTTGAAAAGCCTTCTGTTTTCTCATTGGAAGTTATGACTTTGATGAAAATAGCTAAATCCAGATGGAAGTTTTAACAAAAAGAGCAGAAATCTCAGTAGCATTGACTCTTTCACTGTTTTTCACCTATCGGTTGCCACATTGAGCTGAGAAATTCTAGTTGCAACTATTCTTACCCTTGACTTTCCTGCTAGTTGCTCTTTTTCCCTTTATCTTCTATTTCATTTAGTTGTTGAATGCTTAGAAAAATAACCCACTGTCATGTGGCTTTTCATCTAATTTTAATTTTAGTGGAACTGAAATGTAAATCATAACCTCCAATTTTCTCAGCAAGTATTGTCTATGTCCTCACACACCTCCAGGATTCTTCCCTCAGATCTTCCCCCACTCCCCGCCTCCATTCCACAAGTGTATCTTTTTCTATTTGCAGAAAGATTTCTTCTTTTTGGTGTTGAATCCTTCAAATTGTGAAAATTATACGAGATGTAAATTAATTTCACGTGTGAGAGTGTGAGAAACCTGTAGGATTCTCAGCAAGTGGGCAACACAGTCTTATAATAATTGCTCACAGCTCAGAAATGAACTCGGGGAGTTGTTGAATAAAGTTAAAGGCATATTTGGTTTAGCAAATAAAAATTTCCAATAAACGCCTTTGGAAACCATAATCCTATTAGCTTAATGCAAGTTAAGCTTGAGTACTATCTAGCTCTTGAACTTCCGCTGTTTTTGTCTCTTTGTTTTCTGGTTGCTTTTTTTTTTTTTCCAGCCACAAAATGAGAACTAGGTAATGAATGCATGGCTTACCCTAATGCAAAGCAACTCAACTCTGTTAATTTACTAATTGATACGTGCCTAATTAGCAAGGTCATCTTAATGATACTGGGGTATGCATGTTTATGTGGAGAGACAGAAAAAACAGTGGTATTAATTACAGTGATACTCCATCTGGATTAGGCTTGTCAAAAACATTTTCTTCCGTCATTTCAAAGGTCTTCTTCATCAAAATCTGCAAATAAGTTCAATTTTAGTATGCTTCAGATATGTAAACTGTGTTAATAAGTTATGTCAATAAAATATTTATGAATATATATCGTTAAGGAAAGGGTCTATATTAGAGAAATCATCAGATTGAAAACTATAATTCTCTAATTTCTTTGTCATTACTTGTATTTATGACTGTTCGAAGTTCCAACTCTGGAGTGTCATTGTCAGTTGGCCAGCATCTAACATGTAGGGGTATATGACCCTCAGGACAGCAGGGGCCCTGGGAGACTGTGTGTGCTGATAAATATGCCATCTAGATATGATTCAGGCCCACTTGGCTCAGCAAGGCTATAGTTCAACTTTCGGTTTCATGGACCATATCTCTCAATCTGGGTTCAAACACCCTGGCTTGTTAGATTTGGAATGAGAATGAAGCTCTGGACAAGTTTGGGCCTTTATCTAGCCTGGCCTTTCCCAGCAGGTCCAGAAGACATAGAGGTGGTTGTTTTGGGGTTAGGGTGTGGATGTTTGGTGAAGGAGTGGGTGTGGGAAGGGTCTTGTAGATACGGTATAAAAGGTGGGTTTGGGAGACAAGGGTGGAATATCCAGTGTTTGGAGGCTCAATCCATCATAACTCCCACAGCTTCTATGGTTCGAGATTGACCCCTCCTGGTGATCATCTGAGCAGAAGCATTAGTACAGGTTTTGTGGGCTTTTACCTCCCTTCATTTTTTTCCATCGTTTCTGTGCCTGGCTAGCTGGGTGGTTGTCCTCTCTTATGAAACTTTCATTTCTCTATAATGCTTTTTTGAACTTTTTCTCCATTATTATTCCTTTCTCCCAAAAAGATTTTGATCCATAATTCTATTCAAATCAACTTTAAAACTCAATTTTTCTTTTTTCTAATTGGTCTTTTTCCTTTATTTTCTTGGATCCTGAATTAACATGTTAATATGTGTTTCATATATGTGCCTTTTAGATGAATGCCTTCAATAAATGTCTTCCCATTATCAGGAATAAGTTATATAGATAGTTTTATTTATCTGTGGTTGTTGATATCTTTGGCAAAGATATTCTGTTTGAGTTATGCACCTAGAAACTATGCACCAGGTAGTTATGCACCTACCTGCCCTGTTTATGCTAGTCAGATAGACATAAATTAGTGGGGTGATTGAATTCTTGTGAGAACATGGGAACCAGAAATACACAGCTACCTTAACAAGATGCACAACTCTGATTTAGCCTCATAACGGCAAAAGAGTCCTAAGAATGGAGTTTATGGGTCTTTCCCGGTCAGGAGCTGCCTCTACTTTGGTTGTATCTACTCTTTCACTCTGCTTTTTACTATTGGCATAATCTGACATTATTATAAGGTCTTTTGTGAGTGGCGTTTTCTTAGCTATAGTTCTCACTTTCCTTTTTTCTTTATTAAAAACTGCCAGGAACCACAGGGAACGTGTTATCATTCAGTGAAACAAGAGCACATCAGGTGGTTCAGCAGAAATCAGAACAGTTCATGATTTATAACCAAAAGCAGCTCACAAGGATTTACCCCTCTGCCTACCGCATCGATTCCAGTAACTTCAACCCTCTGCCCTACTGGAACACAGGTTGTCAACTAGGTGCGTATACCTCGGGACAGAGCAGTTCTTTGTATGTTCTGAGTACCCTGCTGTCTTGCCTAATTCTCTCAAACTTTCAACTTGCACAGTGGCACTGAACTATCAGTCTGAAGGCCGAATGATGCAGTTAAATCGAGCCAAATTCAAGACAAATGGCAATTGTGGCTACGTCCTTAAACCCCAGCAAATGTGCAAAGGTGTGCATTAATTTCATAGACGTATCTCTGAATACAGGTGACCTCTATTAAAGAAGCTCTTTAGAAGATGTGATATCCTAGTGTTTTGCAACATAACATTTTTAAAAATGTCATCTTTTTTAAAAACCTAGGTTAAGGTGTTTGAATGTAAATGAGAATTTTTGTCACAACTGTTTAATATTTGGGTGACATGATGTGTAGAATGTTACCTCAAGAGGTTATGCATATCAAGAGGGACATCACAGCAATGAGTTGTCATCTGAAATCCAGTGTCCCAGCATGATATTCATTGGACATTACTTATAAATTGGACTGTCTTCAAAGGGCCTTGCCCTATCTTTGAGGAATTATCTTAGGGAGTGCGAGTCTGAGACCTGCTGGCAAAATTAAATTCTACCTGAATCAAGCTCTTTTAGTCAGTGTAGTCCAATTACAAAACAGTGTTAACAAAAAAGAAAAGATAAAACAATGTTAGATCAAACAACACTTTCTTTTGGTTCTGCTCATTATAATTTTTTTTTAATTTCCAAAATAGATTTATAACAATTCAGGTAAAAGAAAGTGTCGATAGATGTTTTTAGGATTTTATGCTTTGCATGTATTCTTGCTCTGCTGTTTGTTACTCTATACCTGAGGTAGTTTAGATTAGAAAGTTATATGAATCTGCTCTTCTTTTTTACTATTGGTGTTCAAATAAAATGCACCTCTTCCCCTATGTCACAGTTGATCATTGTATTGCAGACACTTGTTTTAAATTGGCCCATTCCTCTGGCCTTTGGGAGCGTGGATTCTAACGAAGCCACGCTGATAGTGATGTGATAGTTTCTTTGCTCTGAGAAATGCTGTAGTGATTCAGCATTTGTCGTTTCTTTGTTTTGCAAGCTTAAGCTGTGTGTGTGTGTGTGTGTGTGTGTGTGTGTGTGTGTGTGTGTTTTCTTCCCATGTTACCAACCTCTGCTTTATTTGGCCTAGGTACTTTCAATCCTTTCTCTGGTGATCCACTTCCTGCCAACCCCAAGAAGCAGCTCATTCTGAAAGTGATCAGTGGACAGCAACTCCCCAAACCTCCAGACTCCATGCTTGGAGACAGGGGTGAGGTAAGCTGTATATGACTGTGTGTCTAAGGCTGTGGTCCTCAACTCCCACCCGTCTATGGCCCACCAAGAGCCAGGCCGCACAGCAGGAGGTGAGGGGCGGGCGAGCAAGAGTAGAGCCCCACCTGCACCCACAGCCGCTCCCCATCGCTGCATCCCTGCTGGAGCCCCGACCCCGTCAGGTCAGTGGAGGCATCAGACCCTGACAGGAGCATGAACCCCACTGTAAACTGCGCATACGAGGGATCCAGGTTGCGTGCTCCCCATGAGTATCCCACGCCTGATGATCTGAGGTGGAGCCAAAGCGGCAACACCCTGCTCCCCAGCCCCGGTCCATGGAAAAACTGTCTTACACGAAACTGGTTCCTGGTGTCAAAAAGGCTGGGGACCACTGGTCTAAGGGATTATTTTATTGTGTTTGCTTTTTACCTGAATGTCTTCAGGGCTGTGTGTGTCTGTATGTGTGTTCATATATGAGCACTGATCTTAGCTCATCAGACGTTAACTGATTTATTGGCAAATCACACACAGTTCCTGATGGACTTCAGTGCATTTTCTGTCTTGGAGGTGTGAGTGCACACAATTTAATTTACATTTCAAGGCTGATGCTGGCAATATTGAAATTGGGGTGCAAAGATCAATTTTATTAGTAGTAGAAACATTGCCTAAGAGTATGTCTTAATCTTCCATCCACATTCCTTCTCTCCGCCAATGCTCATCCCTGCTGCAGGCCTGGCCATGTGCTGATTCCTGTTATCACCTGCTGTGCCTCTGCAGCATGCATTGAAAATATCTCCCTCTGTGACCACGGTCTCCTTTCTTTCCAGGGTTTTTATTCCATAATTTTCATTAAGCCTGGTCTTGGCCTTCTTGTCTTCTTTTTTTTTGTTTTATTGGTTGATTGGTTGATTGATTGGAGACAGGGTCTTGCTTTGTTGCCCAGGGTGCAGTGCCCTGGCATCATCATAGCTCACTGCATCTCAAACTCCTGTGCTCAAGCAATCCTCCTGCCTCAGCCTCCTGAGTAGCTGGGCCATGCCCCACTAATTCTTTTGTTTTTTGTAGAGACAGGGTCTCGCCACATTGCTGAGACTGGTCTCAAACCTCTGGCCTCAAGCAATTCTCCCACCTCTGCCTCCCAAAGTGCTGGCATTACAGGTGTGAGCCAGGGAGCCTGGCCTTGGCCTTTGTTATCTCCCTCCCTATCAGCCCCTCCTGTGCTCATGTCCTTCCTCTCAGCCTCTTTACCACTCCCACCTGTTCAACTATTATTTCTGGATCTTGTTGGAGGAGACCACAAAGCTCTGAAGTGGCTACCACCATAAACTCTTCATCTCAGATATCAGCCAACCTGTGGTTCTGTGCTGCCATTCCAGCCTCACCTTAGCGCTCAGTCCCATTTTCCACAGCGGCTGTTTCCAATCTTCTCTCTGTCCTCATCATCTTCAGCAGAGGCTATAATGTCCTACTTCTCAGAGGGTAGGAGCGTCAGGTGGGACCATTCTTCCATCTCTACAGCCACCAGACTGATCCAAATGACATTGTCTCTTGTCAGTTCTGCTGCAGGAGCCCGCAGCTGGCTGCTCTCCCTGCTGCCCTTCTTACCCCTGCGTCCTGTTCTCAGCAGCAAGAGTAATTCACTGGTAGTACCAGAAAATTTATCCTTCCTTCTTCTTTCCTTTCTTTTCTTTTTTGTCTGTAGAAAGGAAGACTCCCTTCCTATATATTCTCCCAAACTTTTTATTTTAAAAAGCTTTAAACTTCAGGCCGGATGCAATGGTTCACACCAGTAATCCTAGCACTCTGGGAGGCTGCGACGGGAGGATTGCTTGAGCCCAGGAGTTCAAAACCAGCCTGAGCAGGAGTGAGACTCCCATCTACACTAAAACTAGAAAAATTAGCCAGGCATGGTGGTGTGTGCCTGTAGTCCCAGCTACTCAGGAGGCTGAGGCAGGAGGATCGCTTGAGACCAGGAGTTTGGGGTTGCAGTGAGCTATGATGACACCTCTGCACTCTGGCCTGGTCAACAGAGTGAGACTCTGTCTCCAAAAAAAGTTTTAAACTTCAGAAAAGTTGTAAGAATAATAAAATAAATCATCTGGATTAACCAATTCAATTATTAAATTTTGTAACCCTTGCTTTCCCTCTTTCTCCTGTGTATATGTGTGTGTATGTGTACATATATGTATTTGCTTTTCTTTGCAGAGTCCCTTGAGAGTAAGTTGTTGACATCATGACACATAATCCCTAAATACCTCTGCATTTTGCTCATAAGAACATGGGTGTTTTTCTGTATAACCCCAATGCAATCATTGCACAAGAAATTTAACATTGGTACAGTAATATTATCTAATATAAAATACATATTTAATTTTTCCTAGTTGGCCCCAAATCGTCCTTACATCTTTCCTTTTCTTCTTCTTGCATTCAGGATCCAATCATGATCACATACTGCTTTTAGTTGTCATTTCTCTTTAGTCTTTTAAAATCTAGGACAATTCTTTTTCCTTTTTGTTTTGTTTCATGACATGGACTTTTTTAAGAGTCCAAACCAGTTGTTTTCAGAATATTCTTCAATTTGAATTTACCTGATTCTTTCTTCACGATTAGAGTCAGAATAAACATATTGGCAGGAATAATACGTGGGAAATGTATCCTTCTCAGTGCATCACGTCAGGAATTGCATGATGTCAGTTTATCCCATAATCGAAAATGTTACTTGGATAAGGGGGTGTCTTCCAAACATTTTTCATAGTATAGGTATCTCTTTATCTTTGTAATTAATACATGGCCTATGGAATTAATTTTTAAATGCATAAGGAATGTCTTTCTTTTGTAATTAAAAAAATGTAACATCTCTATTGTGGCTTACAAGGTTCTATCAGAAGATTTTAATGTTTTTTGAGTCATGAAACACTTTGGTATCTGGCGAAGCCAATGGACCCCTTCTCAAAATGTCTTTAAATTCATAAAAAATAGATAGGGTAACACAGGAAACAATTATATTGAAATTCATTTATCAAAATATTTTTAAAAAACAAATTGTGACATACGAATATGTGTGAGCATAAAATCATTAATTGAAAATGAGTGAACTCTAACTATGTTTGTTTGCTAAATAAATAATATGTATATCCTTCTAATCATCTTAACGTGGTTTTCCATCATCCCTCTCTGGTTCTTATTTCCTGGCCCTACCCCCACAACTCTATGTTTTCCTCACTCTGAGTTCCTAAAAATATGTTTTCCCAGCCTTCCTACCTCTGTCCCCTTCAGACTTTCTTAGATTAGCTCTTTCTGGCTCTTTAGGTTTTTATTCCTTCATTGCCCATCACCCAGAACTTGTGCCACAAAAGAAATTTTGCAGATGACCAACAAAGCATAATCCCTCCCCCTGGAAGAGAGGGAATGGGAGCAGGGGAAGACTAAACACTCATATATTTTTTTCTTTTATTTTTTAATATTTTACCTTTTAGTACTTTTAAATTTACATTATGATACATAATCAGCTACATTAAAGTACACAAATTGAACATGGATAGCTTGATTAATTATTATGCCACCCAGATCAAGACAGAGCATATCCAGAATCCCTATAAGGTTCCTGTCCACCCTCCCATCAATATCTACACCTCCCACCCCCCGCCATACCAGTTCCTATCACAACAGACAAATTCTGTCGATTCCCAAACTTTATATAAATGGACTCTTATGGTAGGTACTCTTTTATGTCTGGCTTGCTCAACATATGTCTATGTAGCAGAACTTTTTTATGTTTTCATTGTTGTGTAGTGTTCATTAAATGCATAGTCCACAGTTTATCCATCCTACTCATGACAGGCATTTACATTGTTTCCAGTGTTTGACTATTATGAATACAGCTGCTTTGAGCATTTCAACATGGGCAAAATCTCTCATTTCTGTTGGGTATGTGCCCTGAACTGAAATTGTGTTAATAGTTTCACTGGGTAAAGTTTATGTAGCATTAGGAGATATTGGCAAACAAGAATTTAATTTCTTTTATTGCTGTCTTATATCTGAATCTGCTACACCTAGTAACATTCTTCTTTCTTAGTAAGCACTTAGTAAAATTGGTTGCTCTTGAAATGTAGACATTTTGGCCAATATTCTCAAATTAATTAACATGTGTAGAAATGTATCATTTATAATAATACTTTCTCTTTGTTTATATAGATCATTGATCCTTTTGTTGAAGTTGAAATTATCGGATTGCCAGTAGATTGTTGTAAAGATCAAACCCGTGTGGTGGATGACAATGGTAAGATGATACATTGTGTTTGTCTTTAATGAGGATGTTCTAGAAATAGAATTTGCATTGAAAAAGAAAAATGTATATATGTAGAAGAGGAACAAATCTCTAAAATCCATAGCTGCCATTTGAGTTTATATTAAGATCTTTTGAACAAATAAAACTAAGTAACTGTGTGATTGATGCACAGTATGTTTTGATAATGTCATAATCTAGGCTCTCTAGACTTTTGCTTTTGAAGCAAAAACTCTTTCTAGTGAAAAGAATGAATGATATTTTCAAGAACTGGGTTAAAATTTACTTAGGAAAATGCCTCTTAATAATTTCTCATTTTTTCTGCAGTGTATAAAACTCTAAAGGCAAGCACAGTGTGGTCAGGCAGGTTTACTTCTTGAATTATGTGCATGTGATGAAGGGGCAGCGTTCTTCTGATATTTTGGCCATAATATAAAGAAAGCTTTCTTTACCCAAGTCTTATGTCCTTTTCTTTGTAATCTTCCGAAATTTGTCTGTTTGTACTCTTGACAAACATTATTGCATACTTATTTTTCTCAATCGCTAATCAATAATACTCTAAAATAAATTTAAATGACAATCATCAAAATATGTGAGAAATTAGGGATTCAAAGGGACACCTTGAGGGCATGTCAGAGTTCCAGAGTAGGGCACATTTATTACTTAGGAAGCCTCGTGCTTAAAGAAAGCAGCCTTCTTGTGTTGCATTTTCCCACCAGTGCTCAATAGATTATTCTTTCTTTTTTTGATCTCGGAAGTAACTGAGAGGTCATCACTAAGTCAACAAAGAGATCCTCTCGTTCAGGAGTAGCATCTTATTTCATTAGCTTGCGACTTTTATAGGGTTAAGTGGTTGAGACCTCCTAAATACATATGTTTAATAAAACCTATTTTCATTTTTTAGAAAGGCAAAAATGAATTGTTGAATTGTTACGAGTTTTATATTTTATCTCAGAGAATTTAAAAATAAAGTTAATGTACTTTTGTCTTTCAGTATTCGAGTTAAATTATATACCTTTTCTACTTATTTTCAGTAGCTATGAAAATCTATCATCATTCATGTAGTAAAGTCTTGCTTCAGAAGAAGCCACTGGGAATCAATGGTGCACAGTCCGATTTGGCCCTACCACTAACCATAAGGCCCTGTGTCACCTTAGCCACTTTATTTTCTATAATATCAACATCAATTTTCTCTACCAAAAGATGAGCTATAAAAACTAATATTTCCTACTTTTAAAAAAATGAGCGTGTGTTACTTATATAATGTTTAAAGTTATATATTTTGAAAGTCAGTAATATATATTTTTTTAGTTAGAAGAAAATAAAAACCCTGCCCTTCCTCTCTTAGAGGATTGCTATTAATATAAGAATTAAATAGGATGATCTATGTACAATGGTGTCAAAACCTGAAAATCACCTTATAAAATGGTTGTTGGTGATTATTACAGCAGCAGAATCTTTGGTGCATGAGAAGCATAATTCTATGGTGGGGGTATCCTTCTTTATTGTTTTTGCTAAAATATCATTCTTACATCACTACTGTAGATAATCTTTGAACTTATGGAACCATTCTGAATGTTAAAGAGCTTTCTCTACAATACAATTGGGCGCCAAAGATTAGTAGAATGGATGTGATAATTTACAGGCAATTTTCTTGCAATTATTTTCAAGCAAGGGGGTAAATTCTGAGGCTTTATTCCAGTAAGACATCCTGGAGTGGCTCAGTCGTCTTTACGACTTTAATAACCATTGCAAGCAATTTTCACTGTCTGCTTTGCAGATGTTGCTGCTGATTCATTTTCAGCCAAGTCCTTTATTTTTCTGATTTTTCTCTTCCTGTTTCTCCAAGGATTTAACCCTGTGTGGGAAGAAACTCTGACATTTACAGTACACATGCCAGAAATAGCTTTGGTTCGATTCCTTGTGTGGGATCATGATCCTATTGGACGAGACTTCGTTGGACAAAGAACTGTGACCTTCAGCAGCTTAGTGCCTGGTAGGTATGAACTGGTGTTTTGTCTCTAGACTGACCATTTCTTCTTCTTTGTAAGATTTAATATATGAGGGGCCAGGCACAGTGGCTCACACCTATAATTCTAACAGTCTAGAGGCTAAGGAGGGAGGATCACTTGAGGCCAGGAATTCAAGACCAGCCCGAGCAAGAGCAAGACCCTGTCTCTACTAAAAATAGAAAAATCAGCTGGGCATGGTGGTGTGGACTTGTAGTCCCAGCTGCTTGGGAAGTTTAGGCAGGAGGATAACTTGAGCCCTGGAGTTTGAGATTGCAGTGAGCTATGATGACACCACTGCACCCTAGCTCAGGCAACAGAGCAAGACTCTGTCTCAAAAAAAAAAAAAAAAAATTTAATATATGATATGTGACATACGATATACATGGCTAACATAGCATAGGTGATGTTTATATAAAATACATGTCATATCATAAATGTGACTGTTGATATGTTTTATAAAATGCAAAGAACTATAGTCAAGTGATACTTAATTTCATTGTGCTCACAGGAAAACCAAATGCAAGTTCAACTTAAAAGAAATGACTTTCTTTACTTTTACTAGGCTACCGGCATGTCTATTTGGAAGGACTGACAGAAGCATCCATATTTGTCCACATAACAATCAATGAAATCTATGGAAAGGTGAGAAAGATCATAGGGCTTAAATTCACATATAACAATGCTATGGTCCTCCACAAAGCTACTAATTTACTAATGACATAAAAGGAATGTACATTTTGACAAACTGTTCTTTAACAGAAGAACGCAGGGAAGCCCAGGAAGCCCAGTCTGCTCTCCCTGTCATGTCCCGATCCACCTGTGCTCATTCCACCGTTTTGGGGTGTGTACGTACCCCTTCCACCCAGGGGCCCTCTCTGGGCTTGTCAGAATTGAGAGAACTATTATTCTTTCAGGCAATCCTTTGTTTGGCTAAAACAATGAAGATACAGTTAAATGTTGAATTTTATTTTAGTCCTTAAAAAGACCAAGCTGTCTGCAGTGGGAAATGGAGTGTCTCGGAGGTTTGATAAATTCTCTGTGCTAACTGGGCCGTGGTCCTAGCTAGTTCTAGGCAGGCTGCATTCATTCGATGCTGCTGTTTTTAACTGAAAACTAAAATTGTGAATGAATTTTAAAACTTACTCACAGGACTAAAAAGAAAGAGACCAAGAAAATGTATTCTAGTTTTCTCCTGATGCTATTCTCTTCATTGTAGAACTCACCTGACGTTTAAAATCAATAAGGCTGTCTGGTCATGCCAAGTAACTGGGGACTTGGCCACTGCTTTGAATTTTCAGGACCAGATATCATTTGGAGGGACTGTAAAAGCATTGAATAGGGCTTAGGAATTTCCAGTGCTTTTTACCAGAAAGTACGTATAGCCTGGGGCTTCTCCTTTACAGGTGTACCTATTATCTGTGCCTCAGCTTCCTCATCTGTAAATGTGGGATAAAAATAGTACCGACCTCATAATATATATATATATATATATATATACATTGTGTGTGTGTGTGTGTAAGTTTATATATCTGTAAACTTAGAAATCTGCCAGGTACGTAGTAAATGCTTGAAAATGTTGACTAATATTAATAGTATTATTACAATCCAATTGGTAAGGAATGAACCAAGTCAGCCTGAATCAGTGTGTTTATGTTTATCCTCACACCAGCAGCAGAGGTGGGGCTGAGAGTCCTAATTTCTAAAACCAGTGAAGTTTCATACAGTAACTTTTTATGTTTAGTCCTGAATTTCTGTTCATGTTACTAGTTGGGATCTTTCCTTTGGCCTAAATAGACACAGATGTAAATGATTCAAAAATGATTCTTGAATTCTAGGAATCCCAGGTTAACTATGTAGTACTCTAGCATTTATCATGGCTGAGGGAAACAACAAAATTCAGAATTTGTTTAAAACTTGAATCAGAAATAAATTAAAATATGAAGGCGTTCTGTGGGACTTCTCTCTTGTAAATAAATGTCCTTTCGTGAGTCATAATACTTATTACTGCGAAGGTGTGTTCAGGTTGGGATGCAAATACCACAATGTGGTGATCTTGGTTGAACAATGAATGAGCAAAAGACTAAAGGTCATCAGAACTAGGAGAAAGGGTTTATAGGAATACATGCATTTTTCTCTTTCATGTTTACTTATGCCACCTTCTTTAATGAGCCCAAATTGTGTTTTGTTGTGTTTTTGTTTTTTCCCTCGCAGTGGAGCCCTTTAATACTCAACCCCAGTTATACTATATTGCACTTTCTAGGAGCTACAAAGGTAGTTTCTCAGCATGGTGCTTTGTTCTTGCTGGCGTATTTCTTTTTATGTAGTTATGGCAGCATGCGTTCTCATATCACTCCATTTTCCTGCTTACCACTTTGAAACATGCGTCTGTTGCTTTAAGGCTGCTGAAGTTTGTAACAGTTTGTTAACTGTGGAAACTTTCCCCACCACCTTGTCATCTCTGGGTAGGAAACTTCTGGGAAAGCTTGGCTGTAAAAATGGAAGGCTGACTTCCTCATGGAGTAAGGTTAATAAGGTGTGCATGACGCTGTGCAAACAAGCTGCAAGCTGCTGTTTTCTTGGTTTGAATATACTTCAGTGTCTGTAAAATTTTGTTTTATATTCATTTTTCATGGAGGTGTCATTTCAACGGCAAGTTGTTGACACGATAGCATTTGTTTAACTTGTGGTTGGTCCTTTTGTGTCTTCAGAACAGACAGCTCCAAGGTCTGAAGGGTCTGTTTAATAAGAATCCCAGGCACAGTTCTGCAGAAAACAATTCCCATTATGTACGGAAACGATCCATTGGAGATAGGATTCTGCGACGCACAGCCAGCGCTCCAGCCAAAGGCAGGAAAAAGAGCAAAATGGGCTTCCAAGAGATGGTAGAGATAAAGGATTCAGTGTCTGAGGCTGCAAGAGATCCTGATGGAGTCCTGAGGAGAACCACACGGAGTTTGCAAGTACGCCCTGTCTCGATGCCTGTCGACAAAAGTCTTCTGGGAGCTTTATCACTGCCTCTATCTGACACAGCAAAAGACATTGAGGGAAAAGAAAACTCTCTGGGTAAGATGCTTTAAGTTTCTCTAAGAATAAACCCTTCTAGGCTGCGTTTTGGTTTCTGGTTACCCTTATGACAGGATCAACATTCTGTAGTCAAAGTAAAATATACTGAAAAATAATTTATAATATGATCTTCTAGGCCAGAAGATCCCAAACTTTAGGGGGGAAGGTGGTAGAAGAGCTATTTCCTCCTCACTTAAAGCTTTAAGATAACATTGACGGTGAGGGAGAAGAGGAGCCATGAGGTGTGATGGGAGCACGTGGGTCCATGAGGTAGGACAGAGGGAGGCAAAGCCTGCAAGGTCTGAGCAGAAATACTGGTTTTCAAGTGGGTACCGTATTTACTGATTGGAGGTTGAATATGGTTGTATTCTTTTCCCCACTATATAACACATTTCCATGATTGGAAATGTTTATGGAGAAAGAAAGCCAGATGTTGAAAACAGGCTGCCTATTCACTTCAAAATTCTTTGCTTCCTCGAGAGATGGCTCAGGCAATGATTTTCTGTGGCCTCACTTCCCTGATCCTTGGCTGCTGGCAAGGAAGGAGGCATGCGGTGGCTCCTGCCCAGTTATAGGCGCCACAATCATAGGGACCAGGTGCTCCCTGCCTTTTTCCTTAATTTGATGGTGGTGTTGACATCAGGAAGTGGATCGCGTGAAGACTGCTTTGCAGTATGCCAAAGAGTTCTTGACTTGTGTCGGTGACTGCCTTCCTCTGTCCTATTCTGGGTAATTTGAGTGTCAAAATTGTGTCCATTTGATGTCTCTGGAGCAAATGTGTTTTAATTAAATCAGAGTCATCTCAGATAAGTAAAATGTGATAACTGTTTTCTTTAGCAAAATTATTCTTTTATCAATCTAACTTCAATGATCTATTTCCCCACAAACACCATTTTGCTTATAATTGATTTTTTTTGTAAGATATTCTAGGAAGAAAACCTAATTCTTGAACGGTTTATTTGAAGAAAAAAAGGAAGTTTAAATTTTTGAAATTTTGCTAAGAACAGTGTCAGAAGAGATGAAATATGTGCTTTAAAAATTAATTAAAAACCCCAGTTTTTGGGGAAAATAAAGCTATATTCAATAGAAATTGGTAATCATTAATCCTGTTAATGCTACCATTAAGATGTTAATACCATTAAGGTGAGTTAGAAAGCAATTTTGAAGTGATGTTTCTTTTCTATCTTTAAAAAACAATTATATAAATTAGTTATATATATTGAATTTATGGTAAATATGGAGCAATACATAGTCATGCATTGATTCATGTTATAGCACAAAAGATATTAAGTAGAGAAAAAGCAGAATACAAAATTCTATATGTTATTCTGTCCCTCTGCAAAAGCTTACAGTGACTGTCTCTGAGTGGTAACATCATGGGATATTTAATTTTTTTCTTTATAATTTTTTTGGTTTTCAAAATTTTTTATGATGAATATTTTTAGTCAGCAAGATATTTAATAAGAAGTTAAATTCTTCTTTCTTGTGTATCATCACTCTGAAGCATTAAAAGACTATGAAAATAATCTGGTCAAGAACTGTACACCCAATATTGTCTTAGCACTATACCAATATGGGGTATTCCACATTGCTGTGAATTTTGTGTTTTTATAAAATTTTCCTTACTGTGCCTGACATCTTACTGCCACTTTCAGGGGAGAATACAATATGAAATTTGTGTTGTATTAAAAAGGAAAATGTAATTAACAAAAAACTAGATGTTAGCAATGACAGAATTGATGACCAATTCTTTATCTTTACATTTTAAGTCAACAGATATTGATATTTTAATTCATTTATTGCACCCTCCAATTATTTTAGAAATTAATTGCTTAAATTAAATCTTTTTACAAAATGTTTTTTAAATGATTTTACTTATTTATTTACCTGTTTATTTTTTGCTAATACATGTATAACTTTGAAAGCTTGTAGTATCTTGCTTACAGGTACCACAATACTTTGTTTAACAGAGCTGTCTTGTTCTGTTTTTATTGCCATGCTTCTGTGTAGTACAAATCTGAATAGGAACAACTTAAGGTAATCCTCACTGTAAAAGTATGGTAACTCATTGACATTTTTTTGACAATGAATATTACATCCTTAGCTGATGTAATAGATACTCAAAGGGAAGCTTCGGTGAAATTCCTATGAATATATTTTACCATTTATTCATCACACAGACACTTTGTTGCAAACCTCTGCAATCCATAATTATATTCTGTCACAGTGTAACAGATTTACATTCTCCATTTGTCTGTCCGAAGACAAACATGAGTGTTTGCAGGTCCTACATAAAGTAATTCATGTCACCTAACATGTTGTTTGTTTCATTCAGCAGAAGATAAGGATGACAGAAGAAAAGAGAAGGCAAGTATAAATGGCTCACATTTTCCAAATTTGAACAAAAAGTTCTCCTCCTCCTCCAGTGCTCTTCTCCACAAAGACACCGGCCAAAGGGACTCAATTGTTTCTGCTGCCAACATGTTGGTCACAGGAGAACAGTTGGGGGTGCCAGGTCCCACGGGTGGGAGAACCAAATCGAATGTGACAAGTGATTGCCAGGAAAACCACTATCCCAACAAATCCCTCTCCCCAAGGCAGAATTTGGCTCTTGATCCTACAGTTAACCCAAGACAAGATCTACATGGTGTGAAAACCAAGGCAAAGGGGAATGCGGAGGCGTCCTTGTGCGGAGGCATCCTTTCTCAGAGCAATCTGGAGATTGAGAACCTGGAAGGTAACGGGGGTAAGGGCAGAGCTGCAACGTCCTTTTCTTTGTCAGACGTCTCCACAGTCGGTTCTGACATACCTGACTTACATTCAACTGCGATTCTGCAGGAGAGTGAGATCTCCCATCTTATTGACAATGTCACTTTAACAAATGAGAATGAGCCAGGCAGTTCCATCTCGGCACTAATTGGCCAGTTTGATGAGACCAACGATCAGGCTAACCTCACAGTTGTTCCTCATCTTCATAGTACCAGTGTGACGTCAGGCAATCCTCCCTTGCCTACCCTGGGCCTAAAAACGCCCTTCAAACATGGTTTTTCCAAGGGAAAACCCAAGTCTTCCTTCCTGTGTTCATCTCCTGAGCTGATTGCTTTTTCAAGTCCTGAGACAAACAAACATGTAGCATACAACATTTGTGAAACTACCTGCTCTCCCGTCTCTACAACGAAACCTGATGATGACCTTTCTGGTGAGGCCAAGACAGGGGCCATAGAAGGCGACCTGCCTGGGTGCCCTAATACTTCTCATGGCTGGTTACCAAAAAGTCCTACCAATGGAGAAGACCGGGAAACACGGAAGAGCTGCAGCCCTGCCTCATCCATGGATTTGACCCTGGAGGATGTGATAGCTGATCCCACCCTTGGTTTCAATTCTGGAGACAGCAGCCTTGTGGAAATTGATGGAGAGTCAGAGAATATGTCTCTAACAACCTATGAGTACAGGAGAGAGGGCACAAATCCACTTCCTTCTCCTTTAAAACTGAAGTACAGTCAGGATGTAGTAGAACACTTTCAAAGAGGTTTGAGAAATGGCTATTGTAAAGAGACTCTGTACCCTTCTGTCCCCGAAATATTCAACAATATTCAAGATGTCAACACTCAAAGTATTTCTTATCTAGCATATCAGGGTGCTGGCTTTGTGCATAACCGTTTCTCAAAATCAGATGCAAAAATGAACCAGACCGGTGTGCCCCGGCAGTCTAGTGCCCAAGATATGCATGTCCCTGCACCCAAGCAGTTGGCACATCTTCCTTTGCCTGCTCTGAAACTGCCCAGTCCTTGCAAATCCAAAAGTCTGGGGGACTTAACTTCAGAGGACATCACCTGCAATTTTGAGAGCAAGTACCAGTGTATCAGTAAGAGTTTCGTTACAACTGGCATTAGAGACAAGAACGGTGTGTCTGTGAAGACAAAGTCGTTAGAGCCTGTAGACGCCCTGACGGAGCAGCTTCGGAAGCTTGTGTCCTTTGACCAGGAAGACAACTGCCACATGCTGTATTCAAAGCAGGATGTCAGTCAATTCCCCAGGGCACTGGTCAGGAAGTTGTCATCCAGAAGTCAGAGCAGAGTGCGCAATATTGCCAGCCGTGCCAAGGAGAGACAGGAAGCCAACAAGCAAAAAATTGTGAGCCCCAGCAATGGGGGAGGTGTGGTTCTTAGAAACAAACCCTCGGCACCCACCCCTGCCATGAACCGCCACTCCACTGGCTCGTACATTGCAGGCTACCTGAGGAACACGAAAGGGGGTGGCCCGGAAGGCCGTGGCATCCCAGAGGGGGCGTGTACGGCCCTTCACTATGGCTATGTCGACCAGTTTTGTTCAGATAATTCTGTTTTGCAGACTGAGCCAAGCAGTGATGATAAACCAGAAATTTATTTTCTTTTGAGACTGTGAATTACATAAAGCTGCATTGTCAGTGTTTACAAGGTATTCTGTAGAATGTCTGTTTTCAGTTGTCAGTAAATCAGGTTCTTGGCTTTGGAATGATTTTCAAATGTATTTTTAAACTCGTATTTTGGTCTCCCTTTGACTTCATGTGTTCTTTCTTGTTAATGTGTTTGTGTGTATAGATTTGGTGACATTTCCTATGTACCTATTATGATCTTTCTCCCTTGAGGTGTTGTTAACTGTATTGGTATGAAATATGTGCATGCCCTAGAGGTGAAACTCCTCAGCAGCTTGGGTTATAATGTATGCGCATTTCACCAACATGCCCTTTACTGTGTCCTCAGATTGCAGTCACAGAAGTAGATATTTTTACTCTCTGTTGAGTTGATTAAGAGACTTTGCAAACCATAAAGGGATGAATTCCTTATTTTAAGCCATTATCGTTTTTCCTATTTTTCTTTCTCGGTTGAGAAACTCAGATGCATTTTTATAACTCAGTTGAAAAAAGTTTAAAATTGTTATCTTGCCTTTTAACTTTTCCTCACCCCACCCATAATGAGAGTTTAAAGGGGATCAATAGCTGTTCCCCACACCCTCTTCCCTCTACCCCCTTTTGAGAATAGGCTGTGAGAGTGTGAGGAAGAAGGCAAACTTCTGTATATAAGGGCAAAATTGTTTTACATAAATTTTGTTACATATTTTTGCTAATGGCTTTGTATGTAACAAGATCCCAGTTGCCAAACTCTTTGTTGTACTTTTGAATTTTCTGATTATAGACTGCAAAATGGCTTTCAGAATGAGGTACTTCCATCAGACTCCAACAGTAATAGTAGCGCAAATCGAAAACTTCCCTAAAGCTTTAAAAATATATATTTTCTCATGATAAAATCCAAGTGAATAGATAATTAGAAGAAACCTTTTTCCTTCAGAGAACCGAGTAACTATATTTTAGTACCAACATGCATTATTTTCACTGTGAATCCATTTTTTTATTGCATGTGTTCAAATGTCCCTCTTTGCTTTTTTGTAACATTAACTGCAATGATGTTCTTCCTGGAATTCATGAAAATATAATTAAAGCAGATTTTTAAACACTTGGTGATTTCTTTTTTTACAATCGACATTCATATGATGACTACTGAGTAAGGGACCCAGAGCACTTGGACATGTTTTCGTTTCCATGTGTTTGCGGTAGAATAGAGGACTTCTATTGCAGAGAACAGTTTTAAGCAGCAATTTATGTCTCCAAGTGTTTTCATTATGCTTTAAAGAGCATAATTGTAAGGTGACTTGAAAAGAAATCAAACGTAATGACTTTGCAATGGGTGTTGATACTGCAAATTTAAAAATAATCCTTCCTAACTGGTGTGTGGGGGATGCATGCGGGGAAGGCTGGTGAGAAGCAGTCTTACCTGGCAAATGAGGCTGTCTGAAGCTTTGTGATGTGGCAGAAGAGTGGGGAGGAGAGCAATCATTTCCTGCGTCTCTTGGTCCCCAACTCTGAGCTCTCCCCCAAGGTTGGGGGTCTTTCTCTTTTTGAACAGGCACTGGGAATCTGGGTGGGGATAGATGTGCCATAGTGAAAGGGAGAAAGACTCACTACTATCACCTTAGTGAGCCCAGGGCAATTTTGTCTTCTTAGGGGCTCTAAGCCCCCAAAGATCTATCCCTAGACCTTGGTTAGTTTGTAAGGTATCCTTGTCTTAGAAGAGATTGACATGATGTAAAGTTGTTAAAATTCACTTGCAAAAGAATAGAATCTAGCTGCTTTTTATGATTCAATGAGATCTTTGTTCTAAAAAAAAAAAAAAATCCAGGAGTTTGCATTTGCATGTCAACCCTGCCTCAAAGTGATCGAGTCATAACGTAAGTGGCTGGGGCCAAGTGGTGGGTTATCAGACCAATCCCCCCAGTGCCCATGTGTGTCTGTCACCCATACATGTAGAATTCTTCTACTGATAGGACATAAGAAGAGAAGGGGAAGCAATTTCATGACTACCATTTGGGGATTGCCTAATAAGGAAGAGGCAGTGGCAATAAAGCTTACGTTTTAGTAAAAGCTTTTGATGCTCAGCTTAGACTCCTCCGGGTTTCACTTGTTTGGAGGGTGGATAAGGAACGCATTCAGTCACACGAAAATCATACAAGTGCGGTCTCAATCAAGATACTAACAGGTTTCCTGATTTTTTTCTTTTTTTTTCTTTGAGAACCAGAGTCCAGGAAGCCCCTAGTCTCTGCAAAGGCTGACTAGAGCAAGCCCTGTGGAATTTGAAGGTTTTCTCATTTCTCCTTTCTTAGAGGCTGTGTGGCATGTTCCAAGTCTGAGCAGTGACAGGTGGCTGCGAGAGTTGCCTGTAGCAGTGGCAATATCCGCAGGGGACAGAAGCAAAACTTCTTAACAAAATCTGATCAAGTCACCTTTCCCACTTACAGCCCTTCAGTGGATCCCCATCAATTACAGAATAAGGTTTCATAACCTTGCATACAGGGTCGTCTTTGATTTAGTGCCCTTATCTGTTTCTAAAACCTGATCTTCTCTGCCTTGGATTGCCCTTTCCTCCTTTGCCCACTGCATTCTTCAAGGTACATTCTGGTGCATCCTTTTCTCCAGGGAGCCTGTTCTGATCATTATCTCCTCTTCCTTGATTGCCCCCAACCAATTGCAAATAACCCACTCCCATTTGGGGACCTCCAATGTACCTGTGAAACCCAGGATTCCATTCCATTTGTAGGGCTCTGTTCACGTGTCTGCCTCCTCCACTAGACTGAGGGCATGACTGTGCCTTGTGCCCTTTTCTAGCTCAAGGCCTGGTGCCTATGTGCCTTCAGAAAATGTTTGATAGATTAATGAATCAGGCTGGGCACAGTGGCTCATGCCTGTAATCCTAGCACTCTGGGAGGCCGAGGTGGAAGGATCACTTGAGGCCAGGAGTTCAAGACCACCTGATCAAGACTGACACCCTGTCTCTAGGAAAAATAGAAAAATTAGCCGAGCATGGTGGCATGTGTCTGTAGTCCCAGCCGAGGCAGGAGGATCGCTTGAGCCCAGGAGTTTCAGGTTGCAGTGAGCTATGATGATGCCACTGCACTCTAGCCCAGGAAACAGAGCAAGACCCTCTCCTGCGCCCCCCGCTCCAAAAAAAAAAAAAAATTGATGAATCAGGGAACTTAGGGAAAATGTGAGAGAAAACAGTGTGTCTGCAGTCTCAGTTTGTTGTATGCCAGGAAGAAGGAAGAAGTACAGAATCTCGTTTTAAGTAGTTTTGTACGGTGATGACTGAGTTTATCTTTTTCTGTTTCCTTCTAGTTCTCTCATTTTTCTGTTTACATCTAGCGTATCCTTTTCTCTCCCTTTTAGTTTAGTGACTACTTAGTTATTTACCATGAGTAAGATTAGCTGATATTTGTATAGCATTCTGCAATATAAAGAGACTTTTACTCATGGTAAAAGCATCTCATTTAGTCCTTACAATTTTGTGAGGAGATGATGTTGTCCCCATTTCATAGATTCTGAAAACAAGGTCATGGAGGTAGGAAATAGCTGAGCAAGGTTATTCCAACAATAATCCTACGATAGTCCTCTTTCCCCTACACACTATTGCCTTTTCTGAAAACTTTAATAAACATTTAGTTAGCATCCACTGTGGGCTAGGTACTCAGCTGGGCATTAGAATTATGATTATGGAGCCACCAGTTGGTAGAGGTGCTGAGATACATTGGTTTTGTTCCAAATGTCCGGTCAATTAGAAACCTATCACATATGGTAGCTGAAAATATAAGAAAAGAGAGAAAGTTATGTTGCCGTATATATGACATCTATGAATCAGAATCACTCACCCTTTTTTTTTTTTTGACAGAAATAGCTTACATCTTAACCCAGGATCACTGAAAAAGTACCTATGCTAACATTTTATTGGGGATGGGAGTATGTTCCTAGGGAAAAGTAAGAATGACAGCAAAAGAGAATTGAGGCAGAGGTGGAAGGAGAGAAAATACTAGAGGATGAGTTACTGAGATGACCACAGCTTTATAACCAAACCAGTCAGATGCCTCCATTTACAGGATGTCTCCAGAGAAGCCATAGGAAAAGACTGCATCTGAGAGCAGTCCATTGTAGGGAAGGAAGGATGAGAGATGAATCTCTTGGTACCTTTCCCATCTGCTTTCTTTCAGTGGTGAAGTCTATCCTACAAGGCACTCACTTTCTGTGTTTCCAGGTTGTGCTATATGGCCCCGCCAGGCAGCCACTGCAGAGCTGGAACCCCTGGGGCACGGTGTGCTTATCTCTCCATGTCAGCTGGGGCTGCATGTGGGGACCCCTCAGTGTGTGATGGCAGTGTCAGCGGCAGCTGGCTGGAACTTAACCACTGTGGGAGTAGCTGAATAGCTAAAGCAATGCAGACGGTTGACTTTGAGTGGGAAGGGGGTAGGCAGGGATGAGATCTAGGGTGGTACGTAACCTGGGTCTTATATATTGCATCTCTTGTAGAAATTTGATTTTCATACATCCTCTTATATCCCAGATCTTGTATGAGAACAAGATACTTTCACTGCTTCCTCAAGAAGGGAGGTGCAAGGCTAGTCCTTCCAGGTTGTGGTCAGTTTCAATCCCCTAAAGAAGATTTAAAGAAGATGGGCAAACCAAGCTATAGCCCCCGCTGCTGCAGCTGGTCCAGAGTCATGGCTGATATTTGTCATCTCCACTGTCACCATTCCAGTTTCTCACACCTTCAGTCAGTATTCAGTTGCTCCAGGTTGCTTGCCTGGTGGGTTGACACAGCCCTTCATGCCTGATGGATGTGAACCCTCGGTTGTTTCCTTTGTCAGAAAAGAGTTGCTGCAGGTACCCATTTACAACCGTCACTGGTCACAGAATCACTAACAGGTGCCTCAGTGAGGCCTGTACCCCACATGTACTCCTCTTTGCCCCCATTGTGTAGCACACCCAGCTCCTCATGGCAGTTGGGCAATTAATCCAGTCAATACAATAATTCTTTTCTTGCTTATCCACTAGCATGAGGAGTTTAAAGTAGTTGCAATTTCCAGTTCAGTGGAACACGGTGTGTTCTCTAGGAAGCAATACTCCTCAA